TCTCATGCCTCAGGCCACGAAGTATCGCAGAATGATGATGTGCCGACCATGTAGAACCTAACCCCGGAGCCCTCAAAGCACGGACCCTACAAAGCCCAACAGAAGCCAAACACAGGTTCCGGCATGCCTGGGATGAGGCCCTGGTGGACCAGTCCTCTGCCCTCCCCGAGGCAGGGTGTCACGTCAAGTTTGCAGCTAAACTAATCCCCTCTTGCATCTCAGACACAGAAGGGTGTGATAGACGAGGGCAGCTGCAACTAGACTTGGTAACTAGGTCTCTCATCCTACTTGTATATCTCGTCGGTCTGCAAACTCTTGGCGCAGCTCTGCCACTAGACGCTCCAGGCCAGTGGCATCCACGAGCTTTTTCGGCCGTCCTGCTTTCGTGAGGCCTTGTTGGGCTTTGGGCAACTTAGGGCCCGAGTTTCATCCATGGACTGTGGAACGAACAAAAAGCTGCTTAGCGCCCAACTGACACTGATACTGGCGAAGCCAACACTAGTGGCGAGTCCATTGACACGTTGTGGCTGCTATTCAAAATGACCAACTACCCCTTGAGCTAGGCTACGTGGCACCCCGCTGTTGCTGTTGCTGCTCTTACCTCGCACCTACAACCTGAAGTCCACGCAGCAACCTGCGGATTCTAAGGGCAGAATTCACAACATAAACTGGTCATACGAATAAAGGGGGGGAAGGCGGGAGAAAGGCCTGCAAATGAAGAATCAAGAAGATAAGGCAATTTTAAAGACAAGAATGAGGGGAAAATTGTGATCACAGCCGCAGCAGTGCCTAAGTGCGAGAAGTAGCAACCACTTCCTTAGAAATCTCATTTCTCACGCTGTCATCAGCGTCATCATCGTCATCGTCATCACCATCACGATCATTACGTGATGGTAGGATCGGCTTCTGCTTTTCGTGTCAAAGCTGCTTCGACAAGGCAATGCTTGGACATGGCTGCATCGGCGGAGAAAGAGTGGAGGTTTTCCAGGTTGTCCAGGTTTTCCTTACATTCGAAGTGCGGCCCAAGCTCTTCCGGCTCTTCCGAATTCTTGGGCCTTTGGGCCTGTGGCGGCCTGTAGCCTGGGATGGATTCACTCGACCCAGATGTGAACTCTCAACCTCATCCACGTGGCTTGAATGCCAAACGCCGCCCAAGTGCAGAGCACCTGTAGTAGCACCGCGAAATAACCCAAAACAAATCCCAGAAAAAACGCGAAAATGGCAAATTTCATTCTTCAGCCTTTTCTAAGCTGGCCACTCAACTGTCGTCAATCTGCACCGATGCTTTTCTCGGTCCCGGCTAGGACTAAGCCGGCCTTCTCGATTTGCTCACGTCATGCCCGCACTGGGGACCATGCTCTTGATGGACTAAAGCGCCGATTGCGAGACTGCTGGATCTCGGGCTTGATTCACGCCGCCCGAGCGTGCCATCCTGCTGGAGCCCATGGGACAGGTGCCCTGAAGGCACCTTAGGCATCCTTACCATGTGGCTTGCAGTCACATGGTAGTCGCCACGCCGCGTGATGAGCTCGGAGTTTGACGATTCCTTTTCGAGGGAGGATCGTCTTGATCATCTTGTCGATTTCCGGCAGTGGACAAGCAAACCCATCATCGTCGTCATCATAATCGCTTCAATATCTTCAATCCATCACCCGTCATTCCATATTTGTCAATCTTCTGACTTTCGCCGGATTTGCTGTGGCTGTCTGCTAATAGCCAGTTGACCGCTGTGTGTGTGGGGCTGATCGTCACGATTTTACTTCTGATCTCTCACCACTTACGTGCCTGTATCTCAGGTGCAGCAGTGTTATCTGGACCTCTACAAGTCCGACGCTCAGTTCCTTTGGGATCTGTCAAAACAAGGTTGAAAGTTGAACCATGTATTGCGTTGAGTGGATCGTAGAAGCCACGTGGCCGCGCTTTGGGTCTACCCCACATGATTATGATGATTTGGTGCTAGACTGCGAAGCTGTGCAATTCCCACACACGTAGGTAAGAGTCATGAGCAGTCACGAAGATACTGATTCATACTGTTAACTCCGAGGCATCTCGACAACTTCATCACCTTCCTGTCAATGGCGACCTTGCAGCATGTGTTGGTTGGTTTGTGTCGTCGAGGAAACCGCAGCAACGGTGCGTCCGGTCAGGCAAAGCAGCTAGCACTGGGATTACCAAGTGTGAAGAGGTAGCGGCATCTCTCACCCGCAGTGGTCAGTGACGCTGACTGTAGTAGCGCAAGAAGAGGTGACGCACTATCGTCGGCTGGCAAACATTGCTGGTGACGCTGGAATGTGCCCTGGCCTAGTTTGAAGAACATAAGCTGCGATTTAGCCGGCCATGTGCGTACATGTGCCCCCTTAGCCGGACTCCCTCTCTGTCTCTGGCGCGCTTTCTCTCTCTCACACACTCTCTCTCCCTCCCTCTCTCTCTCTATCTCGTTACGCTGTAGTTGGATGCGTACGGGACGAGAGTCTTTTGACCCCGACTCGCCCGCTTCAGTTGAACATGTTGAAGGACGACAAGTCCTGCCAGACACACAATGTACACAATAAGGACTCGTCCTAACCCGGCATGTTCGTGTCTGAGTGTTTGCTGCATTGGCGTGCTTCAGCCACGGTGCAGACACTCAGAGCTTCAGGGACCTAGACCCGCGTTTGGGGTCTCTACGAGAGCCTGACAGTCTGATTGTCTGAGTGTCTGTTTTTTCCGTTTGCGCCCCATTAGCACTCTCTCTCTCTCTCTCTCTCTCTCTCTCTCTCTCTAAACTCACTTCTGGACGTCTCAAGCTCTTGAGGTACCATCTTCGAGCCAGTTTGCATCACCTCCTCCAAGAGGTCGAGATGTCAATGGCAGGGGCCCCGGCTGAAAATCAGTTCATCACTGCCTGCATGCCGCAGTTCTGCCACAGACTTTCTCTTGCGCCCCAACAACATTTAGGGCTGTTTAGGGCTTCTCACAGCATGTTCAGCGGTTTGATGTTTGGGTTGTTCGGGTTGAGGGTTTCCCTCGAACGTGAAGCATTTTTTTGTGGAGGCACAGATCACGGCTCTGTCGCCCGTGGCCCAGCTAGCGGCTAGCGCTTAGCAATGCTCATGCCAGCATCGCTAGGGGGTTGTCTTGTGCCTTCAAACCCGAGAGATGTGGAACCCTCGACCCCTTAGCCCGCTTTGATATACGAGTAGCGTCGGGTTGCAGGCTTGATGACGTAAGGCTGGGGATGGCGATTTGAGGGATTCGGGATCATAGGAGTTTAGGGCGGAACAACAGGAAAATCAGAAACTGGACCGCGAATCAGAAACTGCGCATTAGAAACTGCGCATCAGAAACCAGCCACGCATCTGACACTCCGCATCAGAAACTGGCGCGCATCAGCAACTGCGCATCAGAAACTGCGCGCATCAGCAACTGCGCATCAGAAACCACCGCGCATCAGAAACTGCGCATCAGAAACCAGCACGAATCAGAAACTGCGCATCAGAAACCACCGCGAATCAGAAACTGCAAACATGCGCATCAGAAACCCACGCGAATCATAAACTGCGAGTCAGAAACTGCGCGTCTGAAACCCACGCGAATCAGAAACTGCTTTTTCAGAAACCGGGTGGGGGGGGGGTGGGGGGGGGGGGGGGGGGGGGGGGGGGGGGGGCAGTCGCCGCCCATGTCAGAAAATGCTTTTTCCGAACGGGGGGACGGAAACCGGCTGCTTTTCAGAAACGGGGTGGGGGGGGGGTGGGGGGCAGTCGCGTGCAGGCGGCCAGCCATGTCAGAAACTGCCTTTAAAACGGGTGGGGGGGGGTGGGGGTGCAGGCGGCAGCCATGTCAGAAACTGCTTTTCAGAAACGGGGGTGGGGGGGGGTGGGGGTGCAGGCGGCCAGCCCATGTCAGAAACTGCTTTTCAGAAACGGGGTGGGGGGGGGTGGGGGGCAGTCGCGTGCAGGCGGCCAGCCATGTCAGAAACTGCCTTTCGCAAACGCGGTGGGGGGTCACGCGCCCCTAAAAACCCTGAACCATAAACCCTAAACCCCTTCGCGGGCCGCCGCGGCTCTTGGACCCGTAAAAAGCTTAGGTTTGATTTCCCGGTTGCTGAAGTTGCAAGAGCCCTGAGACCTAACCTTAAACCCTGAACCTTAAACCCTAAACCCTAAACCCTGAACCCTGAACCCTTAACCCTAAAGCCTAAACCTTAAACCCTGGACCCTAAACCCTACACCCAACCCCCTGAACCCTAAACCCTCCGGTTTCCAAATCGGCCGTTCACCAGTTTCCGAATCAGGCGTTCACCAGTTTCCGAATCAGATGTTTGCCAGTTTCCGAATCAGCCGTTCACCAGTTTCCGAATCAGCCGTTTGCCAGTTTCCGAATCAGCCGTTCACCAGTTTCCGAATCAGCCGTTTGCCAGTTTCCGAATCAGCCGTTTGCCGGTTTCCGAATCAGCCTTTCGCTAGTTTCTGAAACATCCGTTTCCTGGTTTCCGAATTTCCCGTTTTCAGTTTCTGATTCAGCCGTCTGGGTTTCTGATTCAGCCGCCCTGGTTTCTGATTCAAGCTTGGTTTCTGATTTTCCCGTTTCGGTTTCTGATTCAGGTCTGGTTTCTGATTCAACCGTTCTGGTTTCTGATTCAACCGTTCTGGTTTCCGAAAATTCCGTCGACCGTTTAGGGCGCTCATGGTTCTCTGAAGCTTTGTGGCCCGAGAGGGCAAGAGTACCACGACACGAGGCACATGCAGAAGTTCATTGACCAAGATGCTGAGACAGCCGACGGTGGTGGAACAAAAGCCCTTCATGGGGCACCAAACACACATCTGCAGGGTCTATGCCATCAGCAGTCGCAAGCAAGCAGTCAAACAGGCTCGCAATTGTCGTGCGCTGTCGCAAGGTTGGTCTTCAAGCCAAACTCAAACACCAAGCACCCAAGACTACCATAGACTACCACTAACTTCAAGACTTGCTTGTGCGGCTGCCGCACGGGGGGGCACTGGCCCGCCTCACGCAGTCGAGCCATGCCTGGCATTCCCCTGCCTCTTCGGCTCGTTAGACCTCCCACCTTCGTACCCCCCACTTTGGCACAGGCCTGACACCTCCCAGGGCATCTAGTTCAGGGCTTTCTGAAGGGCTTGAGGTACATCTTGTACTTGGTATTTCTGTGCGAGAACTCAACCCCCAGATAGGTGAGACCCGATGAAACCCGAAATTCCCAACCCCTTACTTACGAAGCAGCCCATGGATGAGTGGACCCGAGATCGCGGGATCCCGAAGCCATGCCCTGCATGGGCTTTTGCTGAGGTTTCACCGCATCCAAAGTGACATGGTCTTCGCCCTCCTCTGTGATCTGGTGGTGTTCTGCAACCTGGTGCTCGGACCTTTTTGTGGGGGTTCAGAGAGTTAGGGTGCTCAGGGATCCTGGGAATACAGGCTTTGCGCTGAGGTTGCCCGAGGGGGGGATTACCCGGGCCTGACATGAGATGTTCTCTTGAAGCCCACCATGCTGGTGGATCAGGTCTACATTGGAGTGGAGGTGGACTTTGGCGACAATGCGGGGCTCAAGGAGCTTGGGGTCTGGTCGTAGGTTTGGGATGAGGCATAGCAGGCCCGACCCCGGCACTAAACCCGGTTGAGGAGCCTTTCTTCTGGTGCCGTGTCGGCTTCCTGAGCCTCTGCTGCATGGAGCGGCTACTTGTGGCGCCGCAGCTAGACTCTAGGTTTTCAGGTCTTTAGATTGACGGCAGCAACGCTGCAAGATACTGCAAGACCACGGTCAGACTGCACTGAGCTCAGGGACTTGGTGTCTCATCGAGGGCGACTTTGGGGGCTTTTAAAGGGAGACAGTTCGAGGGTTCTGGGGGCGCGCTCACTCAGCTGGAGGATATGGTGCGGCCTGGAGTTCAGTATCCGGATTCTGGGCGCTGGGACGGACTTCCTCAGCCTGCGAAACCTTTGCGAGATGATCTTCGCCGCTTGGAGAAACGAAACGCTCCTCAAAAGGCTTTTATTCAGGGTTTCGGGTTGCGGGGGGTCTCTGGTATTCTGTTCAAGGGTCCCCTGCTGGTGATTCTCCACGAGCTCAACGGTTCACGTGCGCGCTCCTTCTGTTTCCGGCATCTTTGGCAGACTGCTGCAAAATCCTCTGAAGACCCCTTGTAGAGCTCCACATAACATCACACATACCTCATGCTTCCGTAAAGCTGCCCGAAGCCGAAGCTCCCCGCTTTGCCTTTCGAAGCTTGCGGGCTGTGTATGGGCATCGGAATCTCTAAGCCACTTCAGTTCCCAAGCCCACAGCTCTGAGCCTGAGCGGTTTGTCAGGTGGAAGCCCTCTCGGATTTCACACGCGCTTCGAGACACCCACACCCACACACACACACCAAGACAGATAGACAGAGGCTCCGAAACCCAGAGAGAGGTCTCGTGTGCCGCCCTGGACGTGCTGCTCTTCACGGAGCCGGGATGGCTCTGGCGCTTCTCCGGCCTCCGGAGCCCTGCCGACGGCAGTTTTGGGGGGCTCTTTGTGAGAAGTCGGACCTTTACAGGGAAGAGGGCCCGGGGCGGCGAGCCCTTTTGGTTGTTTTGAAGCCAAACCCCATCAAGCCCCTTTCTGAGGGTTCAGCTTTGAGGTTTTGGGTTGCTTGTCGGCTGCGGGGTTTTCTCAGCATGTCAAACATGTCATGGCAGGCTGGCGGATGCTGCGAGTTTACCAGTTTGCACGCACCTCCACCAAGCTAAAGGAGTCCCTGTTCAAAGCACAGGGTACGGGGTTTGGGGGGGTCTTCGGCTCGGGGGTTCGCGATTGTTAGAAGTCATGGTTTGACGATGTTTCGGGCTTGGGGTCGCTCCACTTGATTTCTGGGGGCAGGGTGCCAGTGTTTCGGATGTGTTGCACCGGTGCGGTTCTCTGCGTATTAGCAGGGCTTTGCAGCGCAAAGGACTGGTCGGTGTTGCCTCAGAACCACTAACGCAGATAGGCCCGTTAGAGATGTCCGAAAGCCTTGCAAGAGGAGCTCTCCCTGGTACTGGACAGCATGATCCGGTCCTCGAAGGCCCGGATGAGCAAGTACTGATTTTTGATCTTACTGAGACTTACTGGCTTTGTAAGGCTTCTGAACCTGACTGCTTTGGGTTTGTTCTTTGAAGGCTCGGAGGGTGCTGTAAAGGGCACAAAGGCACAAGCTCGGGAGTTTAAATAGCAGCTTTGGGGTCTAAGCCCGTAGAGAGCCATCCCGAAATCTGAAAGAGAAGGCCCTGCTGTACTTGGCCGGCGTGATGGGTGTCGTCTACTGGTCTGCGGGAGCCTGGGCACGAGGGATCTTGACCAGCAACGGGACCCTGGCCGCTCGTCAGCTTTTCGGGGGGCTGCGCGCTTAGGGCATTAGGCTGTTGAGGGTGTTACCCTAACCCTAAACCCTGAACCCTGAACCCTAAAGCTTCTTTTGCAAACGGGATCTCGGGGCATTGAGAGGAGCGGGGAGCGCTGGGTGGCTCCCTCCCAAGGATGTCCTAGACGCGGACACCGTGGATGAGTACTGGGGCCAGTCTCTGAAGGCAGCCTTCACCATGTTTCAGCAGCCCAGCTCGAAGTGCTGGGAGGGCTTGAGCTCAGTGAAAGCTAGGGTTTAAAGTTAGGGTGTGCATTCAGAAGCAACTACTTCGTTCTTATCTCCAGCCGAAAGCACTAGTTTCGATTCAGTCGGTTGTAAGTTAGGCCGCAACTAGAGTTGGACATCACATGCATCCACCGAGGGGGGTGCAGGTCGTTTTAAGGGCAAACTGGGGGCACAAAGATAACTAAAGTGCAGAAAACGTGCAGATAACTAGCAGCTCCTAAAGCCAATTTGCCCGATCATTTATTTCATCTGCAGCCCGTGAACCCACGCAGCACCCTCGACAGTCAACACCCATACAACAAGGTGACTACGCCACGAACTCCTGATGGAACGCTCAACCAAAGTTGTTTCTTGCGGGGGTTTGGGGGCAGAGGGGTGAGGGGGGTTTAGGAGCGTCCGACTCGAAGCACAGGAGCACAGACTTGTCGCGAATCGGCCCGAACCCTAAGCCCGAACATGCTGCACAGTCGCCAGTCAGCTATTGGCAGAGGGCGCGGCCCGAGCAGCAGAACCGAGGACACCCGAAAATTGAAATGGAGAACAGCAAGCGTAACTTACACCCTCAAGGCCCTCAAGCCTGGGGTTGTGGGTTGAAGGTCAAGGGTTTCAGGTTTGGTCTTAAACCCTACAGCCTAGAACCCTGAACCTTTTGCAACAACCCTGAACCACTCGATCTAAAACCTTGACCGGTCAGGTTTTTTGTGAGTACGAAAGCCCTGAACACAGCGGTGGCTTTCCCAAAATATATGCCAAAAGTGGCAGCCTATAACACAATCCTGAAACGGCAGCAGTAAAAGGACAACAGTGCCGACCACCCTCAACACCCTGTAAAGCTTAAAGCCTCACCCTTTCACCCCTGGGAAGCCTGGAGCTGCACACCTCAACAGAACAGTTGCTGTCCGGCACGCCTCAGGGAATTCTCGTCTTGTGAAAAACTACACCCTGTGCTGCCAAAATCAGCTAGAACTCCAGTTTGGGCCAGCGTCCACTCGCAGCCTTCGGAGTCATCGGAAGCGTAGTCCTCCAACGGATCAAGGCTCTCCACCAACGACGGCTGGGCTGCTTCGGTCGTGCGGCCGGTGCTGGACTTGGACGTCTTCGGCGGCCTGCTACTGTTGGTGTACACCTGGGTCACGCACTCCGGTCTCCCAATTAGTGACTATTAGTGTTTCACTTAGTTCATGATTCCTCGGTCCCTCTCTCCTCTCTCCCTCTCCCTGTCTCGGTCCTCCTGCTCCCTCCCTCTCTGCCCTTTTTGCCTCATGTTGGTCTCAGACGTCTGTTTTGCTTTTTCAGCAACCAAGTGCGATTTGTTGCACCTCTGTTGGACAGCCTCTCTGTACTTCTGGCGGAGTGGAATGGTGCTTATTGATGGGCCTAGTGTCCTCTGCGCATCACTGCTCGCGATTTTGAGGGACTGTGGCCAGGTCCTACACCATGATCAGTTTAGGGATCGGCGTGATGGTTTGGGCCACCGTGGAGGAGGCTCGAAGTGGAGGAGACCATGGTGCCTATGCGACTTGGGCTGTGCAGGGTTCCTTGGAAGTTTCAATGTTTTGGGTTTCAGGGCTCAGGGCAGCCGGGCTTATAGTGATTCAGGATTCAGACTTCAGGCTGTGCTATCTAGGGAATCGGGAATCTAGGGAGAGTGCCGAGGTGAGGAACCTGGAGGACCGCGAAGCCATCGGCGAGATCCGCACGCACTTCGAGCAGCGCTCCGGCAGCCATGTTTCATGGGTGATGGCGGCTGAGGGTTCCGATCACAGGGTGGTGTTTGGGGCTAAAGGGTTCCGAAGTGCTTCCGGGCTTGAGTCTGCGGCTTCCGGCCCCTCTGCCTAGACCCCCTAAACGACGAGCGCCAAGCCTTGAAATCCCTGCAAATGCCGACAAAGCAAGGCGGTCGAGGGCCTGCACCCCAGCGGGATGTTTCGGCTTTCAAGTTTTCAGGGGCTTCTGGCACGTATGGCCGTGCACTTTAGGGTTGGGAGGGAAAGGGTGGAAGCACCCAGGTCCTTAAGGCTAACTGCAACTGACGTAGAACTACCGCCTGTTGCAGGAGCCTCATGATGCAGGACCGACACCCGGCAGAAAGCTGGTTCTCGTGGCGTGTTAGTTTTCTGTTTTTTTTTTTGTTCTTCCAGTGCGTGTCTATCTGCGGGTTGGTGTGAACCCCCCCAGGCCCCGAGGGTTTTTGGGTGTTTGAGGGCGGAGAGACTCGTTCAGGTCTTGAGTTTGGTGGTTGCCGTACATGCTGGTGGTTCTACTGTAGGGCTGTCTGTGGTGGCATTTCTTTTCGCACTGGGCGCCTGGGCACAAGGTTTCTCAGGTTCACTTGGAGGCTTGGGAGTGGGTTGCGCCGGATGACCCGGATTCCGGCTTAAGAGGCCTAAAGCCCCTAAAGCCAACAGCCCAAAACCCCCGCAAAGACGCGCCCAGTAAGGCAACTTCATCGACTACCAGGAGTTGCGGGATGCCATGACCATCCCAGAGATTATGGCACGGGGCTCAAGATCTTGGGACTTCGGGTTTTATGTTTAGGCGACTAGGGTCTTGTAGGACACAGGGAGTGCCATGTTTTGTTGGTTTTGTTGGCCTTGTTTTTGGTCGGGGAACAGGGAGGAACTCGTTCTGTTCGTCGCCGGTTTACATCGGAAGAGAGGGGAGGGAGGGGGAGGGAGGGGAGGGAGGGGGAGGGGGGGGAGGGAGAGGGAGGCAGAGGGGGAGGGAGGGGAGGTGTGGGGGGGGAGGTGTGGGGGGGGGAGGTGGGGGGGGGAGGTTTGGGGGGGGGGGGAGGTGTGGGGGGGGAGGTGTGGGGGGGGAGGTGTGGGGGGGGGGGGGGTGGGGGGGGAGGTGTGGGGGGGGGTGTGGGGGGGGAGGTGTAGGGGGGGAGGTGTGGGGGGGGAGGTGTGGGGGGGAGGTGTGGGCGGGGTGGTGGGGGGGGGAGGTTGTGGGGGGGGAGGTGTGGGGGGGGTGTGGGGGGGAGGTGTGGGGGGGGAGGTGTGGGGGGGAGGTGTGGGGGGGGAGGTGTGGGGGGGAGGTGTGGGGGGGGAGGGGGGGAGGGGGAGGGAGGGGGAGGGAGGAGGGAGGGGGAGGGGAGGGGGAGGGAGGGGGAGAGAGGGAGGGGAGGGGGGGCGGGGGGAGGGAGGAGGAGGGGGGGAGGGAGGGGGAGGGAGAATGCAAAAGTTAAAGCGAAAAAGGAGATTCGTGTCACGCAACGCATCTGTTATGTTCTCCATGTACGTGACGCGTATTTGCGCCCCTATCAGGTCCGCGATGAATCATCTCAGCTTAAAATGCTACGCAAGAATAAAGCAGATGCTATACATCGATGGCGTCCGCTCGGCGGTGCAACCTGCTGTCAACAAGTGTGAAAGCTACAATGCACGTCTCAGACCTTTTCAAGGTTCTAAATTTCCAACAGATTCCATGGCACCGAGGGAGCGTGACACTTAGTACTACTCGTACGCGTAGTACTCGTCGTACTCCTTGTCCTCGTCCTCGTCCTCGCCGTCGCCGTCGCCGTCGCCATCGTCATCGTCATGCTAGCTGCACCAGTGTGGTGTATAGTGTTAGTGTTCGGGTTCGCCGCATCATCATTACTAGTAAGGGCATAGTGGAGGGGGGTGTGTTAAAACGGCACCCGACTGGCGGAGAGTTGGGTTATTCATGCAGGCAGCCTCTCACTGTTGCCAGACCCATCTTCCCCAGCTTGCAGTGCTTTAGCTTCTGCAGTCGGAGCTGTAGCGCGAATTCTCAGGCTGTCGACCAAAGCGCCCTGAATGAATGCCAAACCCTAACGCCTTGAGCTTGAGCCCTAAATCTTGAAATCCTAAACGCGCAGGGGGCCATTCGTCACCTGGAGCTTCCCGTGAGCGATGCCCTGACGCTCTTTGAGCACGTGGATGCCCCTGCGCGGCACGCTGGTTTACGAAAATAAGGGACCCCCCAATATAGTCCCCAAACAGTAGGGTTCCCTTATTATGAGGACCCCAGTGAGGCACCCCTATTTTCGGAAACCCCCATATGTTGAAGAACGCGGCGGTTCAGGATCACCTTCTTCAAATGCTAAGCTTCTACAGGTCTAAGTTTACGTGTTGCGGTGACCTCGAGATGTTCGGCTCGGTGCAGAGCATTGTCGGGGTTTATGGTTTTGGGCTTCACTGGCTGCCGGTTATCACTATGCCCACCCATGCCAGTGAGCATGCCCATCAAGTCGGGTGTCCCTGCTGACACGGCGAGTGCAGCTTAAGTTTACGGGTCGTGCGCTCGTGGTGACCTCTCAAGAAACCCCACACGTCAGCTCTCCCAGTAGCGTCATCCATGGACGAAGCTGCCATGGTCACTCTTAGCACCTTTCGCTGAGCAGCTGGGCTGGCCTTGAGGTGCTGAAACCCGCAAAGAGCCCAGGTCATGCAGAGTGGCCGGATCACCCTGGACGAACTGATGGACCGCTGAGTTCGGCTAGTGCCTGCCACACAGGGGGGCTCCGGGTCCTCTCGCATCTTTGACGGGTCGAGGGATGTTCCTGATGCTTTCGAAGTCCTTGAAAGAGTTTGGGAGTTCAGAGTCTGTGGTTCTGAAGTGCACGATCTTTGGCTTTGGCCCTTGTAGCCTTACAAGCCCCAATGTGCCTGCAGCAAGATCTCGTGCAAGATCGTGGAAGTTTAGACCCTGAGCCCTGCAGGACAGCATCAAGTCGCTCACCTCCAAGGCCACACCCTTCGACACCTGCTGCCTTACGGCCCCTTGTTTCTTTTATGCCACAAAGCCCCCTCCACACCCCCCCACCCCCAACCCCACAACAGAAGGGAAACGCTCAAGGTTCTGTTTTTCGCTCAGGACTCAGCACTACGCGCTTAGGATGTGCAGTTTCAGATTTGGGGTTTCTGGGGGTGGGGGGAACCCAGGCACGCATCGGCGGCACTGCCACCTTTACTACACGCTTGGCCACTGGGTGAAACGAGGGGTTCGCTGGCTCTTGATTTCTTGATTCAGGGACCCTACGTTGCGAGGATTCAAACATTGATCCCGTTTGGACCCGATTTCGTCTTGAGGGATTTTTGCTGGGGCAAGCTTGTCATGAAAAGAGGCCTCGTGCAAAAAGATGTTGCAACACCATGGCAGTCTCCAATTTTCATCGTCTGCAGATGCCAAGGTCACACGCACGGACATCGTGGCGGTGACGCTGGAGGAGGTTTGGAATACTTTTGGAATGGTATGGCGTGGTAAAGGTTCAGGACTTGGGATCCATGGTTGAATGGTTAGGCTGGACTTTCTTCACTTTTGAAGCATCAGGGGAGCAACATCAAACCAGTTCGTTCAACCCCCCTGAGGCCAGCAGGTCATCATGTTTAGACCCTAAACCTCAACACTGACCAACACAGAGCACCTGTGCAGATCCGATCCAAACTGCGTTTGGGCATCGACGAGCTGACTCGTGCGTCCATCGAAGACGAGGAGCTGACGCAAGTTCCCGAGGCGTGCGAAACAGCATGGGGTTGTTTAGACACGAAGGAACCCTGCGACCACAAACTGGAACAAGCCCACACTTCCCAAACCCTCAAGCTCAAAACCCAAGTCCCTCGAAGACTCAAACCCAAAAAGCCCTAAACCGGCAAAAGAGTCCTCAGGTCTTCCTCCGGAAGTCGGGGCACATCAACCATTACAAGGAGAGCCGCATGGTCCGCTACACGGGTTGAGGCCGGGTGTGTACCTCATTTGGTGTTGGAGGGGATGTTGTGGTTCGGGGTCGAGGTTGCGTGCCCCGAACCGGTTCCATCAGGGCAGCTACGCTACGAGGTCCAGGGCCTCTGGGTGCTTTGATTTTTTAAATCTAAGGTTTCCGCACGAACGAAAGCCCCTCTAACCGGGTCTTCCAAGGCGCGGGGCTGAAGGACTTAGACCCCACCTTCCGAAGCTTCGAAGCTTCCCTCTTCAAGGCAGCTCGACACGTTTTCCCGGCAAGTGACTCGCCTCTTTAAAGGGCGCTTTTCGGACTTCAAAGCGGCTCTGGGGGTTGAAGTATCTGTGTGGCGGGGTTGTGGAGTTCGGGTTGACGGCTTCTTGAGATCTCAGGATTTAAGATTCAGTGTTCCCTTGTTGTGGCTGCTGCTGCTATGTTGGCTGATGTTGGCACTTTTGTGGGTCTGTAAGCTCGGCTGGATCCGAGCTTTTTGTTGAACTGGTGGTCTGTTGCCGTTATGGAGTCTCGTTGGTGTTGTTGTTTGAGCTCGCCTGTGGAAAGCAGACCTGAACGCCTCAATCGTTGAGTCTCCCAGTAGACCGAACAGTGTTCAAACACCCCAAACAACAACCGCTGAGCCGAGCCCAGGGCAGCGCCTGGCCGAAGTTTCACAGCCTTTGATAATGCAAAGCACGCGGCGAAAGCCCAGGGGAAGCAATGCCCCCGTGCGACCGTTGCATGGCCATGGCAGCTTAAAAGGGATGAGCTCGAGAATCTCAGGGCCCAAAAGCTTGTCGAGCAATACACTCTTCTGAAGCACATTTTGGTTCTTTGGAGTGCTCCTTTTAGGCTGCGAACGGTTCTCTGTCGGCACTTTTGCTGGCGACAAAAAAGCGACTGACGGCTCGTGGAGGCCCTGTAGCAGTGCCACGTCCAGAGTAAGGTGATGGGCACTGCAAATGAGTTTCTAACGGAAGCAAATCATCTGCACGACTCGACCGCTTCGCGCGGGGATGGGGAGGCCGAGACCAAGGCAGGCAAAGTGGGGGGGGAGGAGCGTTTGCATGGCATATTCCAAAATCCAGAGACTTTCGTTTGTCGCAGCGCGTGCTTGAATTTGGAGAATCCCGAATCCGACGGTGCGAAACTGAAAAGAAGATCCGATGGGAGCCGATGGGTGCTGATGGGCATTGATTCTCCAGGCTTGAGGAGGCCAACGAGACTCATGAAGCTGGAAAATGCTGGAAAAAAGCGGACCTGAAACGGTAAATTTGCGACCTGGGCAGACCAGGGCATGGCAAAGCGGGGCGAGGCCACAGTGGCCGGCAGGCGCCGGTGTTGCGCCGAACGCCGGAACATGTTGCAAAGATCAAGTCTCAGCACAGGGCGCCCAGGACGCCCAGGGCGCTCAGTCCTAGCAACTCGCAGGCGAAGCTGTGGTTGTGGCAAGCGGCAATTGACCCGGCAGATTTTTGCACACGACATGATGGAGTTCTGCAAGGAGAGCCGACATGGCTGTACAGACTCGAATCCCACTTCCCCCATCCCACCCCCCTCAAATCATTCGTATCTACGTTCGCAAATATTTTATCTACATCTATATCTGCGCTGCCTGTACCTACAATTTGGAGTATGAATAGTTTTAATGTACTAGGCAATATCGCACCAGTACTGTCGAGCAGCGAGTATCTACATTTAATATGTACTCGTGTACCACCCATATCAAATTCCAATCTGGGATTCCCAGCTACGCGCCAGGCTAATGCCCCATGTCTAAGATCTAGCATTTAAAATCCAGCATCAAGTGTCGCAGATCTAGTATTTAATTCAGACATCTAGTATCTATCTCTTTCTCCTATCCAGGTATCTATCCATCTATCTGATCTATTTGGGTACAGGGGGACGGCGGTGGTGCAAGGTCACGTGTGATGCAGGAGGTTCGCAAGATGGTGCTGAACCTTATGCCGGGATCTGAGCTATAAACTTCATCTGGCACCTAGTGCGAACATTCATGAGGTGACCGCAGCACACATGTTTTCATCTGGACATCTGCGAGTCCAGGCTGAATGCTGAATTTGCCGTTTCCCAGCTTCAGGTCTGACAATGCCAAAGCAGCTACTGGACGCAATTTGGTTTGGCTTGGGAGGTGCCTCTGTGCCGTTGCTTCTCCTGTGAATGTTTGCTTGCCAGAAGCGACTCCCCAAACACTGAGGGGGTTCAGGCATTCGCATGCTCATGCAAGTGCGCCATAACCAAAATAGACTTACTGCACGAATTGCGCGGGTCACTGTCGCCGGTCCTTTCAAGAGCCTCTTGCCTTGCAGCGAATCTGGACCGTTTGGGTTCTCGGTGCTGGCCTAGGTCTTAGACAGCTGGGGGACATGTAATGTGGCCCTAAAATGAACCGCAGCTCTTTCTCAAGATTGAGCTGCCCTTCTTGATGCATCGCCATGCTGTGCACAGCCCACGGCCTGAAACACTGAGAAATCTCAAAGCCAAAGGGTTAGGAGTCCGGGGAGTCCTGGAGGGCCCGAGACCTGAAAGAGTGATAGAAGAATGTAGGCCCTAGGCTGGGTTCTGTGGATGGTATAGTTGCAATTCCCCAGGCATCTTCAGCACCAAAAACATCCGCGCAGTAGCAGAAGCAGAATTGGTCCATGGCCACATCGAGTCGGTAACAGAGATTCGACGGGAGAATGGTCACAACCGCCATGCCCGAGAATAACTTCGAGGTGAACCTGGAAGTGCCGGAGGAATTTCCAGAAGCCACGCTCGAGCGTCATCATACTCTCTCTGAAGTCCTCCACGAGGTGTCCCAGGTGTCTTCGCATTCCACGGCACCTGGAGACTTGGATGAGTTCGTGACGGAATTCCTCGACAAATGCGCTGAGCTGATGTCTCAGATGCAACCTGCGCACCCAGAAATTCTCCGCGGGATCAGAGCATCGCACGTGTTGCACAGAGCACGCGGTGCGTGGATGCGTGGAGAGCTGGAGCCGCTCCAAGAGTTCAGCGAGAAGACGACCCAGCTTGACGAGTTTTGGTCACACAGCTGGCAAACGAGTCTTTGGTTAAAGTATGTCAGCATCCTCTATCGTAGCAATGGCTTGCCAGCATTTGTACTGGGCACGCTCAGTGCCCTGCTGGCCTTTTCCTTGCAGATAGCTGGCGTTATTTCGTGGCGGGGCGCGTGCACGCTGGCTGGGACTGTGGCCTATTACTTGACTCTTCTATTCTGGAAGCCCCAAAAGCAAGTGTTCCTGGACGTTGCATGCGTGGACCAGGTTGACCCAGCAAAAAAAACACAGGGCCTGATGAGCGTGGGCGCATTTTTGAAAGCATCCAAGTCCCTTGTGGTTTTTTGGGAGACGAGCTTTGTCACTAGATTGTGGTGTGTCTTCGAAATGGCAGGGTTTATGCACACGCAGCAACGTGATGCAAGCAAGCACCTGGAGGTATGCCCGGTTTTCGTAGGCCCGGCACTCATATTTGGTCATGCGGGTTTCTGCGCGATGTTCCTCATTTTCTTCTTCACTGAAATTGACATCATGGAAGTACAATTGGAGGGCGGGTTAGTCCTCGGCGCTCTAATGCTTCCGTGCTTGACAACTCTGGCATACGTAGTTCTGCTGCACTGCCACAGCATCGAAGTAATGCAGCAGCAAGTCCGCTGCTTCACCATCGAGCGTTCCTTTAGCCAATGCTGTGTAGACAAGCATCTTGACAGCAATGGTCAACGAATTCTTTGTGATCGGGATGTCATCCTGCGATGCATCTCCGCCTGGTTTGGGTCTCCGGAGCAATTTGAGGACATGGTGCGCACGAAGCTTTTGCGGCAGCTGGTTTACCAGCTTGCCAACCATACCTTCTCGTACTGGCGAATTTTGCAGGCGATGTCCCCTGTAATGTGGTTCAAGCTAGATTGGTTCCTTCCAGGCGAGTTTATGCGTGGCGTGGTCGAGACGAGTGTGTACTGGCTTGCGCTCGGCCCAACAATGGTGCGGGTGTCTCTCCGGCTGACCTACAGCACGCGCAAACTAAGCGACAGGACAGTCGGACGTGCGCTAATTTCCATGTGCCTTGTCGCAAACGCGATGCTTATGTTCGGAGCTTTCTTCGTCTTGGAGCAAGTTCTTCCTATGGCTTTTGGGGATAGACTGGCGTCAACCTCGGTTCTGCTTGTGGTGATGAGTGTTGTGACTCTATTGTTGTGGTGCTGTTTACCGCCAATTCACGAGTCCAATTCGCGTGAGGAAGCAGCGGCCTAGGAAGCTTTCGTAAACCATAAACGGCATAAGACTCTGTCATACGTTTGATGTCTTTGTGCGGGGAAGAGGTATCAAGCCCAGCAGGACTGGGCGGCCGCTCTAGCGCTTGTCAGCTTATCTTTTCAATTCTTCTCATTCACAGTTCCGCTCTCCGATTTGAGCCTCGTTCAAAGAACGGGCTCTGAAATGAAAGCGCTGAAGCTCAGAAACCAACGCAGCAGAAAAGGCTGGTGATTTGGCCTGATGGTGCAGGCCCAGGGTAGGCCTTAGGGCTTCATTCGGTGCCGGGTTCTACAGTATAGGGTGTCGGTTCTTTTTCTGCGGAGTCTTAGATCAGGGGAGCTGCAGGAACTCGGAACCTGTACCTGCGGGGTAGCACCTGCATACCTAAAAACCCGAAGGCCGACAACGTCGAAAACCACACCCGAAACCCTCCGCCCCCTCCAATTAAGCCATGTAAAGATTGTGTGAATCAATGTAAGTCCCCGATCCTAAGCCAGGCTACAGCTTGTCGATGAAGCATCGGTTGGGAAGTCTGACCCCAAGACGGAGCGTGGAGGTCGCACTGTCGGAGCTTCGAGTTTTGAACGTTCTGCGGGTCTTAATTATAGAGGCTGCACAAGTATGACTTGTCTAGCTCATGGGTTCAGAACTCAGGCATACTATGGCATACTTACTTTTTAACATCGACAGTTGAAAAGGAATCCATGTTCTTCTGCGGAAGCACATTTGCTAGGGTGACTGAAGCCAAGATAAGCTAAGTCAGTACGAGCCCCGATGCAGACTTGCATCAAAGCACGCGCAATCGTGCAACGCCTTGTCAGCATGATCGTTTTGCACGGACCAATTTGCCGATCCTTGCACACACAGAGCGACTATTTTGGGGAGTTTGACGGAGTGGATGGTTGTTCGATGGTGCTCTTGTTTCATTGTCGTTTCCTTCGTGCTCTTCTGATTTGGCTCGCCGACCGGGCTCTGGAATGTTGCATTGATGAAGGTGCTCGAAACCCTGCTCGCCACAATGCACATATAGGACGCCATTCCGACTGTGTCCTGATGTCCTGAGGCTTCTGATCACCAAGCTAATCCCGAATGGGAATCTTGGAAGAGGGAAGCCTGCAAGATATGCCAGATATGCCAGATATGCCATGCCTTGCTTGGACCCCACCATGAAAAGTCAAAAGCGGCCGAACCTGTCCGTTGGCCTGCGGAGTGATGTGGCAGCTGCAAACTTGTGCAGCCCTTGAGTTCTTCTATTTCCTCACAAGGTGCGCAGTGCACTTGGCTTTCCGCCGCGTTCTTGCAAAACGCGGGCCACTCCCTCAGCCGACATGGGCAACCATGCCGCTTTGTCCGACCCTGGTGAAGCCTACTTGCACCTCGGCCGGCAAAAGCCAAGCCGAAACAATGGCAAAGCTTTGGAAAGGTGACCTTCCACTTGGGTCATCAGTCTCTTCTTCTCATGCCTTGGTTGGCATTGCGCCTGCAAAAGTCGCGAAGCTCCAGGAATTTTATCCAGCTCTACCTGCAATTGCCCAGCCGACAAACATCTGTTAACGAGATCTGTGCGTCATGAAATCATCCGCGATTGGGCCCATAAAGCAGTGACATAAAAGAGCAACTTTTATACCAATTCCTGGCTGCAACGCTTGACTTGCAGGTCGTGGTGATGTCCTGTGCGGGGGCTCTGCGCCAGGCAAAGAAGTCGCGATGACGCAGCATGAAGTGGCCAGATGTTCCACTGACGTCTGGCTTTGTGCACAGCTGACATGGGCGTCACTACGGAGAGCTGCGGCCGCCCATCCCGGGACAAAGCACGTTCTGCCCGCACGCAACGAAATCCAGGCCTAATGTGGCGCGTGGCAGAAACCGAATTGCATGCTACATGCGCGGGTGCCTTGACCACAAATTCGCCCTCGTGGCCATTCACACCCGACGCATCAAGGCCGCCTGAGCAAGTGCAGATTTGGCATCAGGTGCCTTCAACACGTCGATCCAATATTGCCTATAGTGCGTCTAGAGACACGTCGCGTGTAGCTGAGGCTGAAACTCTGACTGCGCAACCTGTTCACGTGGCGCTCTCGAGTTTTTGGATTTGTTGTTTTGTTTTTTTGTTCCTGTGTTTCTTGATTTGTGGTATGAAGGTTTTTCCCGCAATCCTCACTCCCGATCATCATGGAAGACAGTTACGCTGCAGGCCATTGAACACGGTCATAGGAATATCCACTCAGCGCCCACATGTGGCGGCCGCTAAGAAGCACAAGCAATGGGATATCAGGCCGCTTTCGTGTGCGAGCAGCACCTCGAAATTTGTACCAATGAAATGAGCTGGGTCGTGCAGCCCTTCTTGTTGCGCACTTGGTTGATGCTGCTTGGACGATGGGAACTCTCTGTGACCTGAAGCTTGCCTTTTGTTAGCTGTCCCTCATGTGCATCTGACTGTTGTCTTTGGATTGTTATCGGGCCAAGTTGTGCCAACCATAGGTGAATGAATCATTTGAAAGGTTTCGCCTGCAAAGTCAGAGCCGGAGTTTGGTGTGCGTAAAAGCTAACAAAATACAACATGCATTTCGACACATGTACCTTGAAAGGATGTGCCGGCTGAGTATAACTTGTAATCGCTTGCGCGAGCTGCCTCGGCATCCAACGCCAAGCAGAAGAAGGGCGCATTGCAGGGGTTCCAAGGGTGTCCTAGGCTGGTATCTGTGGGGGGAGAAAAAGGTGGAACCCCTGCGGAGGTTTGCAGGTCCCACAGGGGGGCCTGACACAAAATTTGCGAATGGTTGTCCTGAGCTCATCTGCTGTGGACGAGGAGAAGGAGCAAGTTAGAACGGATGCTGACAGCTGCTGTCCGTGTTGCATACACCTTTTATCTCTCAACACGGGAGTGCATGGCGCGGAGTTTTTGGCTATGTCAATCATGTAAAGGTGGTCATTCTGAGAATCAAATTTCTCGTCAGATCGCTGAAGAGCTACGAGTCGTTCATCCCTTGGGAGGTGCAAATTTCTGAAGCTTCGGGCTGAATTCCATGTCCCGTCCACTTGGCGTCTACATCAACAACCCAGCAGTTTTAAAACCTCCGGCCACCACGACACGAAGACAAATTAAAGATCTTGGGTCTGGTTGGATCCATTGTTGTAGCCTCGCTCCCAGGAAATTACTCCTTGTTACTCCCTTCTTTTCAACCAGGCAGCCACATTCTCCGATCCGGATGCATTTAGTCCGCTTTTCGTCCAGACTTCACATCTTCTGGCGTGCACGCCCCCCCCCCCCCCCCCCCCCCCCCCAAAAACAAAATACCAAACACAACAGCAGCAGCAGCAGCAGCGCAACAACAGCAACAACAGCAAACAAACAGCAACACACAACAACAGCAACAAGCAGCAACAGCAGCAACAGCAGCAACAGCAGCAACAGCAGCAACAACCGCAACAACAGCAACAACAGCAACAACAGCAACAACAGCAACAACAGCAACAACAGCAACAACAGCAACAACAGCAACAACGGCAACAACAGCAACAACAGCAACAGCAGCAACAGCAGCAACAGCAGCAACAGCAGCAACAACCGCAACAACAGCAACAACAGCAACAACAGCAACACCAGCAACAACAGCAACAACAGCAACACCAGCAACAACAGCAACAACAGCAACAACAGCAACAACAGCAACAACAGCAACAACAGAAACAACAGCAACAACAGCACCCACAGCACCCGCAGCACCCGCAGCACCCGCAGCACCCGCAGCACCCGCAGCACCCGCAGCACCCGCAGCAGCCACAGCACCCACAGCACCCACAGCACCCACAGCACCCACAGCACCCACAGCACCCACAGCACCCACAGCACCCACAGCACCCACAGCACCCACAGCACCCACAGCACCCACAGCACCGACAGCACCGACAGCACCGACAGCACCGACAGCACCAGCAACAGCAACAGCAACAGCAACAGCAGCACCAACAGCAACAGCAACAGCAACAGCAACGACGACGACGACGACGACGACGACGACGACGACGACGACGACGACGACGACGACGACGACGACGACGACGACGACGACGACGACGACAAACGACACGACATGGCAGAACGCTCTCCTCCAGTGCTTGCGCGACTTCCTGGCGTTCATTGGGGAGTGATGTGAAAAAGGCATCGGATTTAGGCATGAAACGAAACGAAAAACACGAAACCGAACATGAACAGCTGTAGCGTGGGATGCTTTTGGCTGCGTTCACTTGGGAACTTCCTGCCCGAGTCTAGGGCCGGTCGCTGGGTTGCCGGGGCGAGACAGCACGGGCCTATTGCCTCGCCGCGGCTTCCTCCTCGAGCATGCGTGGGTGCAGCGTGGTCGCAGTGGCTCGCTCGCACCACTGCCTGCCGGACGACTGCCGTCGCCTCGACTTCGTCTATGAGAAACGAGGACTGGTGACGCGCTGTGCGCTGATGCGCGAGCCGGTCGTCCGGTCCCCGGCGCAGATGCCCGCGATTGGGTTGCGCTCGCCGCCGCGCGAAAGAGCAAGGCTGCGCGCGGTACCCCGAGCTCATTTGTGGGGGCTTGCAGCGGGTGGTCGTCCTGCAGTCCTTGCCACGGATGTGGGCGGCCGTTGGAGCGAGGAGTTTCAACAAATCCTGCGCCAGCTTCTGCAGGGGTGGTTTCGACTTCCGTAGCCTCCAGTAGCCATTGCTCTGGGACGACCTGTCCCTCCGGCCCCCCACTGTCCGCGAGTTAGCCTGACGGGCGATCAGCCCGGTAGCGTAGTCACCCATGCAGGGCATCGTGCGTGAGACTGCACCCTCGCGTGTCCCCCCCTCGGCCGCAGAAGCTTGCTGCCAAGGGCAAGCCGCAGGCATTGGTGCAAAGCGATTTGTGTCACCTTTGGCGGGATGGAGTGGCTGTCGTTTGAAGGTATGGCCGTTAGCCAAGAGAGCTTGGGCAGCTGGTTCCATGGTCCGCAGCAACCGAGTTCACGTCGCGTTGTGCGGCCAGCCGTGGGGCCCATCCCTATAGATCTCTGTCGGTCAAAGAATGGCCCTGCTAGGAGCCGTGCCCACGCAGGGCAGTTGAGTCAGCAGAAGAGCTCGCGCATTGGAGGTTGGTTGTAGACTCCCGCTGCGCCCTTCGAGTTCGGCGACGCATTGCTTTTAAACGCACTCGCCCTTAAACCTGCGGTGTGGCAAGGCATCGGTCCAGGCCGGGCCGCGTTCGGCATCATGGGCGGCTGCATATCCTGCCACCTCTCGGCACGGCACCGTGCGGAGCGCGTGGTTGGAGCGGGTCGACGCACACAGCGCCAGCAACGACCTCGCACACTGCAGGTCCACCAGGACGGGAGTTCGTGGAACAGCCGTTGCTCTTCGCTCCGCCACGCTTGGACATATACGCTGGATGAACGACTGGCACGCCGAACATCGCCGAACGCTACGAGTCCGCGCTCTTCAAACGGTTTGTCCCCGCGCCCAGCGGGGATCCCTGCTGGCACACTAAACCAGCCAAAGATACTCGTGTTGCTATGATTCGACGTGACGCCGCACGTGGCCTCGACCTCATTTAGAGGCCGTCCAGAAATGCGAACACCTCGTCCTCCGAACGCAAGTGAGCTTGAGCCCCGCGCAACGCTACATGCGTGCAGCGACGGGGCGAGGAGGGTCCCCTTGTACGCAGTCCTCCCCTGGACCAGCTCTGTGCAGCCCACCGGATCCTACTAGCAGGAGGTGGACGGGATAAAAAAGCCGGGAAGCAAGCACGGGGCGACCTCCTGCAGAACCGTCGGGGACCAGGGATGACTCGTGGGAGATCATGTCGTAGGCCCGCCGTCCGTCCAAAGAGACAACTCTACACAGCGTCCGATCGCGCGGAGCTAGGACTCCCCAAGGCTTCGGTGCCAGCGCGCGTGCGCGCCTGCAAAGCGTAACGGAAGAGCGAGTGGCGGCATCGAATGTCGGGGACCACCGTTTTGCGAGAACGCGCGCGACACCGCGGACCCCGCCGGCTGGCTTCTGTAATGCCGTCAGGCGTGCTAGACACCGTCTCGCTCGGCCGTCGCGAGGGATGCAGCAGCCTGAGCACCCTGGCATTCATCCCGCAGCTCGCATGCCTTCGCCGCTCCTTTGAGACCGGGCCAAGCTGGCGCGCAGGTGTTCGCACGGGTCCGGAGCACGGGCAAGCGAAAACGCGTGCAGCATGCCAGCTTGCGAGAGTCGGTACGGTCACCATCCATTGTCAGGTTAAGTTTCGAATGGCAGTTCTGTTTTAGTGCTGTGCCCTGCGGGAAGCTCCGCGACACAGGTGTTTTGTCAACATCCCAAGCTAGCCTCACATGGCCATCACCGAGAGATAGCATCAAACAAACGTTCACGGGTGGATTCACCGCCGCTTTATCGCTGGGCCCTGCGGGAAGGCGTCTCCACTGCCTTCGCTGTGCCGCTGAGCACGCTGCCGCAGTCCACGGGCACTTTTGGGCCATAAGGCCCTTACGGGGGGAAAAGCCCCTTACGGGCTTTTGGCTCAAGCCTTCCCAAGGACGTGGCGAGGCGAGCTTGGAAGACAGAGATTTAAAATACGATTTGTCGGCCGCTCTTGGGCATTGCGGTGCAGCTAGAGGGCCGCGACTGCTCCTGGGCGCGACGCGCGCAGCTGGAGGGTCGCAGTAGACGTAGCCAAGGCGTCACCGCGCGGCTTGCCTCCCACATGCCGCGAAGCCATGGCACATGCTGCCTTGGTTTGTGCGGGCGCCTCCCCGACGTACTACCCCCCGGGTTGGGGCCCCTGGTGCTTGTCCTGGGGGTGGTTTTGCTTGGGGGCGCTGGCGGGGGGGCTGGTGGGGGGGCTGGTGGTTGCAGTCGGCCTTTGCTTGCAGTCCACCCGGTTGCGGCCGCCCCGCGTGCAGACCTCTGCGCAGCAACTGTGGCACACAGCGGCGAAGCACGTCCTGGCTTGCGCCGCTGGGGAGCCTGGCGAATTACTGGACCTGGCGACGCAAGCGGGCACTTCCCCGGAAGATCTATTTCGGAAACACCGCCAGGCCTGCCACGAGCAGACCTCCGGACTCGTCGCCGTCCCCGTGCCTTGCCAGGGCGCACAGGAGGAGGGGGGGGGCAGGGCGGCGCGTAATTACCGCCACTTGCTCGCAGGCAGTGCCGCCGATGGCCCTGCTCGCTACAGGGGGCTCTTCCTGTTGCGGGGGCTGCGGGCACCTCGCGCATCGGACACACGGCGGAAGGCGCGCGTTCCGCGCAGACACAGCCCGTTGCGTCGACCACACGCCCCATCCGCATTTGGGCCGGCGTGTTGGCGAGGCTGACAACCCCGGGCCGCCACAAGCGAGCGATGTTGCAGCCCGCCGCGAGCGAGCCTTGCACGCGTTGGGTCAGATGCGGCTTCTTCCGCCAGACGGGCGCGCTGCCAGCGAGGCCGAAACACTTTCCGACACGCTCAGCGCCAACACGCCTTTCGCCTCGCCCCGGGACGATGAGCCGTTCGCGCACGCCGGTGAGGTGGCCCCGACGTTGCCGGGGGAGGCGACGCCGGGCTTCACGCCGACTGAAGTGCCAGCGCCACCAGAGCAGATGGCGGGCCTTGTGCTCGGTGAGTGGAGCGGCTGCGGCCCGCCCTGCACAAGGGATCTCCCTGCCCGCAACTCGTGGCTCTACGTGCCATTGCTCCACGCGGCCTCGGCCACACTCGCCCCTGCGGCCTCCGGCCAGTGGGTGGCCCATCCCGTGTGCGGCGTGCGGTGGCAAGCACTGGTGCATACACTCGCCCGAGCTGAGCCTGTGCCTGCGGCCCAGCTAGTCGCGCTGTGCAGAGCGGTGGCAGTGCTGGACGACGACGCCGAGGTGGCAGTGGTCGAAGCTGAGGCTTTGTGTCGCCGCCTCGACGCGCATGCTGACCGGCTTGTGTCTCTCCCGACGGCTTTCGCTTGCGCTTGCGACGCCTACGGCTATGCGCCCGCCGTGGCCCAGGCGGCTTTGCTCGAAGCATACGGGGGGCCTGCGGTGGCTGCGGAGGCGGCAAAGCTTGCCGATGCCTTGCGTGCTTGCGAGCCACCTTCCGCACATGCAGCAGCATCTCCCACACGTACCGGGCGACCGCGCCGAGGTCGACGTAATCGGACCCCGGTGGAGTCGTCTGCGAGGCGGGGGGGTGGCGACTCGAGCGACGCTGCTTCCGCTGCTCCAACCGTTGCTCCAACCGCTGCCTGCCTCGCCCAGCCTGCGCGCAGGCCCGCCTCGCCTCCAACCCTTGAAGCGCTTGATGCCGTGGATCTTCTCGCATAACTCCGTGGCCCCGTGCCGACCCTACAAGACGTCCCGGTCTTCTTGCGCGGCGGGTTGCGTCGCGCCTTGGAGTTCGCCCTGACCGCGCTGCGGGCGGCTTATGCGGGGCCGGCAGAAGAGGCTGTACGCGCACGAGCTTGGAAACTTTTCCTCCTTACGCCTCGCATGCTCCTCGCGCGGACGGCAGAGACCGGTGCTGCAGGCAGGCGCGAGCTATTGGCCCGCGTTGGTGCGTACGAGCGAGCCGAATGGCCCGCCCTGTTGGAACGTGCGCGCGCTCAGCATCGGCCCGCCCGCGGAGCGAGCAACATTGCCGATGCAGAGGCTGCTGCGGCCCACCGACGCGAGGTCGCATGCGCCAAAGTCCGCAAAGGCGAGCTTTCGCGCGCCCGCCACGACCTCACGTCTGCGCCCCTGGCACCCGGAGATGCGGCTACCCTCGCGGCGCTGACGGACGTCACGAAAAGACCGGCTCGGCCCAGGCAGGATATCCCTGATGAGCTTCTCCAGTTCCGGCCTCCTGCCCAGGTACACATCTCGGCCGCCGCCATCGCGCGCAGCTTGCGTGCTTGCAAGCGCGGGCGGCAGCGCGCCGGGCTTGTCGGGAGCGCGGGCCGAACACTACAAAGTCCTGCTAGATCAGGCCGATGCTCTGGAACTGCTGGCCGAGGCTGCCACCCTCCTCGCCCGTGCTGACGTGCCCCAGGAAGTCGCTGCCGGCGTTGCGCTTGGCGCGTATGACTGCCATCCAGAAGCCTGGAGGCGGGGTCCGTGGCATCGCCACTGGCGACACGTTCCGGCGGCTTGTTTCCCGCACGTTGGCCGCCTCCCACGCTGCCACATTCGATGAGGCGACCCGGCAATTCCAATATGCCTTAATGCGATTTATCTACGGTAAGTAGCTTATATACCCAACACTCCGAGGGCTTGAGCTAAAGGCTACCCCCTACGCTGTATAGAAACCCACTGCGCAACCGCAGCCCTTTTGAGGCTTCAAGCGAAGAGAAAAGGAGTGTCCTACCCTGAGCCCAGTAGGACCCCCGAAACAGCCTCTGAGCTTTCGCATGGTAGCGGAGCTCTGCTGAGCCCAGGGCCAGCATCTCCGAGCGGGCAGCCCCGCAGGTCTGGAGGACCTGCCTTGGCTGTCTGCGGGTAGCACCGCCCTGCAGGTGCAAGCAACGGTCACCGGGGACCAGAAACCCGGGGAAAGAAGCACTAGGCTTTGAAGCTTAGTGCGGGTAGACCCGCCTAGAGGTCTAACCTTCGGCACCTGGGCCGACAAACCAGGACCACAGGCCGAGCCAACCGAGCCGGTCTTCACCTCTGGATTTGCCCAGCTTTGTGCGGGTAGATCCGCCCTAGTCTTGCAGCCACGTCCGACAGGGATTGGCACGACTGGGGTTGGAATCGGGACCAGTCTGGTTCCTGGTGGGACAACCACCAAGCCGAAGCTGACCAGCACTGGGACTGGCAGCAAGAGGTCTGGCAGCAAGAAAGCTGGACCGAAAACACAGGCCAAGCCGAGGACCCCTGGGCCGGCTGGTCAGGTGTGCATTCGTGGGTGGAGGCACACCCGGTGCCTGAACCCAGTGCACCTCCGCGTAGTCGCAGTCCGCGGCATCGCAGCGAACCTGCAGCTTCCAGTGCGGGTAGACCCGCCAAACCAAGGGGAAAGCCCTGGTGGGAACGTCCCCCGCCCGAGTGGGTGTGGGACGAGAGCCACCAACGCTGGAAGCGCAAGAGCCAGCGGGGAAAACGCTCACCTGAAAAGGTTGAGGAACGTATCCAGCGCGGACAAGAGCGACGAGCAGCCAGCTCGTCAGCAAAAGTCGCGCGGGTAGAACCGCCTCAGGAGGCGGAGACCTCGACTGAGCCAGGTGAGCCAGTCGTTCTCACCCCAGCGCCGGCAGCAGCCGAGCCAGCGGGTAGCCCCGCGGAGGGTCACTCAGAAGCCTCTGAGTCCGAATCCTCCTCCAGCTCGTCAGTCAGCACCATCGACTACGAGTCTGGAAGTCTGCCCGTGCAGACTGAAGCGGCAGCAAGTGCAGCCGCAGAAAGAATTCGGGCCATCAAGCTCGAAGGGGATCCGGGCGAACCGGAAGGACCCCACGCCCCATCTGCAGGGGTGAAGAGCGAGGATCCGAACGAGGAACCCCTCGCAAGTGCGGCAGCCAAAGCCGCATCTGAGCTCCGAGACTCCTGGATCTCAGTGAAAGAGGAGGTTGACTATAGCCCCTCGGACACTCCAGGAGCGGGTAGCACCGCCGCAGCAGAAGCTGCGGAACACAGCCCGGAAGCGGGCAGTCCCGCCGCAGCCGAAGCTGCGGTACAGAGTTCCTGGGTGGAAGTCCAGGAAGCACCAGACTCCCTAGCTGGGAGCACGATCCCAAGCCCACGCCTCTCCGAAGATGGCGATGGCTGGGACGACACAGCTCACCGCTGAGGAGGTGAGCAGGCAGCTCACGGGACTCACTGAAGCCCTCCGAAGGGCAGAGGAGGCCCACCGTGGGTTGCAAGAGCAGCTGGCTCAAAGCCAGCATCGCACCCAACTGTTGGAGCAACAGCTCCTGGAACTCCAACAGGCGGGTAGCACCGCCGCGGGTGGCACCGCAGCCAGCAGAGCAGCGGCGGCCGCAGCGGTAGGTAGCGTTTCACCCCAAGGACTGTTAGGCTTAGCAGCACCGCTGAAAGGGGTAGACTTACTTAAACAAGCCATTAAACCCCCCAAACCCTTAAAGGGAGTAGAAGATTGGGAAAGGTTTGTGTGGCAAGTTGAAACCTTTGCTGCACTCGTGGACGAAAGTTTTCCAGTGCACTTAGAGGAAGCCAGAAAGAGTCAAAGCGACAACACACCGACCGAAGAGAGCGACGAATACCGAGCTCTCTCAGTCAAACTGTTTGGGATGCTGGTATCGCTCATCGCTGAATGCCCAGCTGCATTGAAGATTGCAAGGGGCACGAGAAACCAAAATGGATTCGTCCTATGGCGAATGCTGTGGCGAGAGCTTCATCCCGAGCAGGCCAACAGAGGTCTCATTTGGAGACGAGCCCTGCTTTCGCCGAAGTTTCCAAACAAAGAGGGCGACTTTAGTGCAGCTCTTCAAGAATGGGAGCTGGATCTCGCGAAGTATGAATCCGAGTTTGGAGCCGAAAAGGCCATCTCAGATGAAGACAAGCGAGCGCTACTTATGGTCGAATCGCCCCAGGCCCTGAAGCAGCACTTGGCAATGCATGCTTCATCGCTAGGATCGTACGATGAGGTTCGGGCTGTGGTAGTCTCATACCTGCAAGCAAAGAGGGTGTGGACACCGTCCGGTGGTTATGCTCAGTCAAGCCGCCGAGCAGCTCCCGATCCCGATGCCATGGATATTGGCAAAGTCGGCGATGCCAAAGGCGATAAGGGGAAAGGAAAAGAACACTACAAGTGGGTGGACAAGGTGAAAGACGGCGTGTGCAAAAGCAGGTTTACCTGCGCCGACACACGACGATCCTATACCCCAGAAATGGAGCAGGACATGCGTGTCTTTGTTCCTACCCCTACTCCTGAAGCACACGCACTGCTCGAAATAACGGCTCTGCAAAGAGGCTGCGCCATGAGAACCTTCGACATCGTTGCTGCTTTCCTGATCGGCAAGGACCGAGGGGCGCAGAACGAAAACTGGGTCTACATGCGACCGCCAGCCGAGTGGAAGCCCATTTTCGACCAGTGGGTGCGGGAGCAACCGCCGTCTGAGCAATCCAAGCTCAGAGGACAATTTGCTGACATGCTGTTCAGGCTCGATGGAAATCTGTATGGTCGAAGAACAGCTGGCTCCGTCTATCGAGACGAGCTGGAAGAGCTGTTATGCCACAAATTGTCACAGACCGGCCGGTATGCTTTCAAAAGAGGGGTAAAAGATCCATGTATCTATCGATGCATGAAGACAGGTATCATAGTGGTCCATCACATCGATGACGGAAGATGTGCGGGGAACGCCGCCCTGCTGAACACCTTCCTGGACGAGGATATGTGCAGCCACTGTGAAATCACCACCGGTCCTCTTGAGGCCGAAGGTGTATCGGTAGAAGTTTTGGGAAAAACCAAAACACGCTTAGAGGGCTGCATCCTAACAGCCCCAGACGCAAAGCATGCTCGAAACATCATCGAAGCACTCGGTCTGAAGCCCGGAGAGAAATCTCCAGTACCTTCTCGCAAACCCGATCTCTCGGACGTGACGCCGTTGAGTGCGGGGGATGCCGCCAAATACCGATCCGCTGTGGGGTCCGGAATTTACCTTTCGGCCGACAGACGTGACATTCAGTATGCGGTGAAAGAGTTGGCGAGGCATATGGCCGAACCCAGACAGTGCGACATGCAACAAGCACGACTGCTGGGAAAATATCTGCAACAAGCGCCCGACCTTGTTCGAGTCACTGCACTCGACCCAAGCGCGTACGAAGGGCCCATGACGCTCGACGTCTTCAGCGACAGCGATTGGGGAGGATGTGTTGAAACCCGGCGATCCACAGATTGTCATGTGGTGGTTCTGGGAGGAGCAATTGTCGCCACATCCACGCAGACCCAGCCGGGATTGCCTGCCACCAGCAGCCCTGACGCTGAGTTAAGAGGCATCAGCCGGGCCTGTCGCGAGGCCATCTTCGTTCACGAACTGGCGACCATGGATTTTGGGCTGGAGGTGGAAATCCCACGCCTGTGGTCAGACAGCTCCACTGGCATCACAGCCGCAAAACGCATAGGGCCAGGAACCAAGCTACGCCATCTGGACGTGAGCGAATTCTACGTCCAAGGGGCAGTGCAGGCCGGGAAAGCGCTGTTGCGAAAAGTCAAAGGAACTGAGAATCCGGCGAATTTTCTCACCAAACACCCAAAGTCCGGAAACGAAGTGCTACAAGCTTTACCTTCGTTGGGCATGGTGGACCCCAAACATGTTGCGGGCGCCACCGCCCAGGAGAAACACACGGTGAAGTTTGTGCGGGTGAATCCGCCTACGAGCTGGAAACCCGTATTTCCGTTCAAGCCTACGCTCGCAATCGCGGGTATCACTATGGCTTCACAGATCTTAGGAGTGAAGGCCCAGCCAAGGGAGAAAGAACTCCTAGAGCTGGTGCTGGATGTCACTTTGTGGCTGGGACTCCTGGGATGGTTTGTTTTGCTCTACCACATGGTGAAGGGCACTGTGAGGGGAACTCTGGCTATATGCAGGAGGGTGAACCGACACCGGCAACATGAAGAAGAGCCGGAACCGGAAGCGTCGGAGGACGAAGCCCCAACGCAGGCCGCGGAAAACGCGCCACCTCCACTCGAGGACTTGTTCCGAGAGGGAGTGCGGGCACCTCCGCCTCGGGACCTGCGACCCCCAGCTCCTGAGCCAGAACCTCCAGAGGTGGACCAACAGGCAGCAGCTTCTGCCTTGCCACCACAATCCGCACAGGGAGATCAGCAGCGACGAGCACGTCGAAGAACTAGACCACAGGTACCCCAGAGAGAACCAGGGGAGATCTACTATGCGCCTTGCCGAAGGACAGCACATGTATTCCGCAACTGCTCTGGGCTAAGTTCAACCCAGCAGCAAGACATCGTGGTCGAACAGTTCTGTGCCTACTGCCTGTAAAACTTTCCCAGACACCTCAGGCTCGAGAACGAACCTCGGGTGTGGGTGACAGGGACGAATCTAAGGGCACATATCTTTCAGAATTGCCCTGAACTCCAAGGATGGCAGAGAGCGATTCTGATGTGCAATCACTGCAGTTTGAGACACATCTCGCGAGATCCCTGAGCGGTAGTCCCGCCAAGCGGGCACCACCGCTGGTCAGGATGACCAGCAAATCCAAACAAGGCACAACCCTCTGAGGTTGGAGGGGGGTGCGATTTATCTACGGTAAGTAGCTTATTTACCCAACACTCCGAGGGCTTGAGCTAAAGGCTACCCCCTACGCTGTATAGAAACCCACTGCGCAACCGCAGCCCTTTTGAGGCTTCAAGCGAAGAGAAAAGGAGTGTCCTACCCTGAGCCCAGTAGGACCCCCGAAACAGCCTCTGAGCTTTCGCACTTAAGCACTCGCGCGGGCATGGACGCTTTTACAGCGAAGCTGCGGGCCGCTCTCGAACGCGACCCTCAGACCACCGTCGTCTCGCTAGACGGTCGCAGCGCATACGACTGCATTTCCCGCGCTGCTTTTTTGCACAAGCTCCATGAAGTGGCGCCCGCCCTCGTCCCCTTCGCCCGGCTTTTTTACGGTCAGGCCTCGGAGTACCTTTGGTGGGACGAGAGCGGCGAGCGCCACAGCATCTTCCAGGGCGAGGGATGCGAGCAAGGGGACCCATTGGCCCCCGCGCTCTTCGCCTTGGGACAACATGCGGGGCTGCAGCACGCGGCTGAGAGGCTTCAGGATGGTTGCCGGCGTCGCCTGGGCACGGAGGTGGTGGAGCGCCCTGTCCGTCGCATGCCAGCAGGCGGTCGGCTCAACGGCGCTGCCGTCCTGGCTCTTGGTGACCCGGACGGACCGAGTCGCCTGCCGTTGCGCTGAAGCCCGCCGGCTGCCGCTGCGAGCGTGGCGTAGCTTGCCCGGGTAGTTTTGGAGCCGCTTAGCCGACCAAACGGATCAGCAGGCATAAAAGTCCGAGAAAAAAAAAAGGCCCCTTACGCGCGTCATCGCTGCACGGGATGGTGTGCTCTTCGATCGGCTTTCGCAATGGGTCGACTCACCCGATCGTGGTCCATGCCGCCGCTGCTTGGTGCGCCAGACTCTCTCCCGTTGGGGGACGTGCGTGACCTCGCGAGTGCGAGCGCCCCCAATCAGCTGCCACTGCGCTAGCACTCCGTAGGATGGCACGCCTCACAGCGGAGCCGCAGACCGTGACGGGGCGCACGGCCGAGCGGCGTAAGCGGGCCACCTACCCCGAACTCGCGGGGGGGCGCAACAGCTCTGCGTGCTTGGTTGTGAGGTTGGGGGGCGCTGGAACGCCGAGGCTGCGTCAGTGGTGCGACGCCTGGTCCGCTTGCGGGCCTGCCGCGCCCCGGCACCTCTGCGCGCGGTTGCCGGCGTCGCCTGGGCACGCAGGTGGTGGAGCGCCCTGTCCGTCGCATGCCAGCAGGCGGTCGGCTCAACGGCGCTGGGGAGGGCAAGGGCGGTAGTGGGGCCGGCGCAAGACAGCCTGCCGACCCTGGCTGCCGTCCTGGCTCTTGGTGACCCGGACGGACCGAGTCGCCTTCCGCTGCGCTGAAGCCCGCCGGCTGCCGCTGCGGGCGTAGTAGTCTGGTTTCGGAGCCGCTTAGCCGACCAAATGGATCAGCAGGCATAAAAGTCCGGACAACAAAAAAAAGAGAGAAGTCGAAGGCTCGGTACGCAGCCTTGTCGAACCCCAGCTTTGATGCTGAATTCGATACTTAAATCATTTGATCCAATGACCTGTCCCGTTTGTGCACGATACAATTCCTGCAAGATCCAAATTGCATGTGTTGAAATGCCATGCCATTCCAAAGTACCCGCATTGTGTAAAGTCGACTCGCGACAGCGTGACCTTGGGGATCTACACATACAGGCTGCAGTTTGTAAGGCTCGGGAGGGTACATACGCATTGACCCGCCACAGCGTCACTGTGAAGAGTTCCTCATACATCTCGTGTTTTTCGAAGTTGGGGGCGCATGTGTGTCACGGGGCTTGTTGGGCATGACAATGGGGTTCTTGGGTGGCAGTGGCAGTCGGCATTTCCCATTTCAGGAAAGAGAGAGACGCCTCTTTGGCTGAGTTTCCCTAGGCAACTTATTGCTAGTGCGTTCGGGGATTCAGGAACTGATCTCCCGTGTGATCGTACATTGGGGTTGCCGCCTTCGAGTTTGGGGCCGGGCCTGGAGCCCGCAGACCTTCGCGGAACTTCGTGCGGGGCCACATTCAGCACCCTGCTTAAACCCAGATTTTGGCCTTGAGGAGTTTCTGCATGTGCTTCGAAATCAAGCTTCGCTATGTGCATCGTGGTTGTGCTGACCAGAACACACCAAAACCAGGCGTTCACTTGCAGTTTCCAAAAGTTGCCACTTGCTTCCATGCTATGTCGGTGCAGTTTTTAAGGGGACAGTTTCGCACCGTGTGCCGATTTTGCTCGGGCCGCGCACCTTTACAACAAGATAAGTACTTGGGGATTTACAGTCTATGGGTCTGCGGAGTGCCGACTTCGCACGGCTTGGGCCGACGTAACCCCCCTGCCAAGTACTGTTGTCTACACTCGGCCCAACATTAACTACGCAAAGACGTTATACAACAAACGAACAGATGCGATTGGCCGAAAAACGAAAAGAATCGGATGTAAACAAAACAAAAAAAATCGGATGTTGTTTTCTCATGCATGGATTTCGGCAGATTGCGGATAAGTGTCCATTTCCATGGTGTCGGAGTCGATCCATGAGCCAGAGTGTCGTTGTACGCACGTAACAACGCTGGGAAAAAAAAAAACGCTGGGACAAAATCCGCCGAAACTTCCTTCAAGAGCTCGGACGTCAAACAGCATTCATCTGCCCCGACCAAATTTCAATCGATGCACTGCATACGACAGCTCATGCAAAGCGGAGGGGGGCGGCATGGGACCAGAGTCAGAAGCTCTGCCATCACATGAAGTCCCCAAAGCATCGGCCAATTCATGCAATTGAGGTTGTTGCGGGCTTTTGCGACCTAGCACATCATTCAGGCCTCTGATATGTCGCCAGCGCTTTGTAAAGGGCAGGGCATGATTCAGTTTCCCTGCTTTTTGGCGCCGAAGTTCTGCGATGGTGTGAGAGTTGTCGGCATTCATCAACGTCACTTGACGTCCGCCGGCGCGAACGCTCCACACTGCGACTGACTGCAATGCAACAATCGCCCGAAGCTGCAAACCAAGCGTAAACTGCGCTTCTTCAACCACGTACTCTAGATGCGAGGACCATCAAGAAGGCACTCAAACGTGATTGGTGGCTGCTACACTTCCCGCAGCTTCGGCCAAGGTCTTGCACAGCACTTTTGGAAGCGGGGCCCTTACTCATTGCTTGCAAAGGTAAGCTACAGTGGCACATGCAAACGCCGTGGTTGATCGAAACTGCGCGCTTGCTAAATTTAGCTTTTCCGACGACAGGCTCCCTCAGTCGCCGCCCCAAAGGATCCCCATAGTTTGCGTGCAAGCCATGGCGTGACATGCCTTCCCTGTCCTGGTTGGCATCAGGGGTCAAGTTCGCCGCCTTGCTTTTCCTGCCAGTGGGACATGTGGCAGCACACGATGCGGCGTTTGCCGTGACATACACAGAGCATGCCACCAGGCTGCGCGCCGATCTCCTTCGCAACTACGACTCGGTTGTCCCGCCGCGCAGCGAGAGGGTTGTCAACTACAGCAAGTCTGGCACGGATGTGGCCCTGGAGATTCGTATTTTCAAAGTTGCTCGGGGACATCCCAACATCCAGCCTTGGCAGTTGGTTTTTCGAATTTTTGCGATGTTCATTGTGAGATCCTGCATGGAACGTGCGAGTAGTGCCCGTGCCCAGTGCCCACACCACAGTTTTGTTGTGAGCAAGCTTAGGTTCAAGGGGTCGATGCCTCTTTGGGGCAGATGCGCCTAAAAGTTTGGGTGCGGATGAGTTGGGTTGATGCTCGGCTCAGTTGGGATCCAGCTGATTACGGTAACATCACGACCGTGCAATTCCGCTCCATGCACCCCACCAACGCCGAGAACACCGAGATTTGGTTGCCGGACGTACAACTGTACCTGGGATCAAAGGATCCTAACTCTCAACTGACAAGTTACTTTCATGTGAGCTGATCGGTCTGTTTCCGCAACGATGATCTCAGGTACAATTCCAATGTTGGCAACGAGTTCTCTTTGGACAGCGGACTTGCTTCGGTGACGTCTGATGGATCCGTGTTCTGGAGCCGCCCTGGGTTGACTCTCGGGTGTTTGTGAACGTCTTCTTGTGTGTTGTGGTGTTTGTTTTTCGCATAGGATTGTAGTGGTGAGTTGAGTATAGTTGAGTTGAGCACCCGGGGCGGGATTGGACGACAGCCACTAGAGGCTAGACACGCTGTGCAAGTTTTCTGGCTTGGTGGCATTTCCCCACGACGTACTTTCTTGTGCCATGGAGTGGGGAGGCTGGGCATATTCAGGTGGCTTCCAAGGCATTCGGCTCAGCGGAAAAGGTTTTTCAACGGCGACATCGGAAGATACTGCCGGATCATCGTACCAGGAGTACAGTATTGTGGGGATAGAGGTCCAGACAAAAACCAACTTCTACGAAGCGTACCCGAGCGAACCTTGGACAGTCGTGAAGTACACAGTGAAATTGGGCCGAGCTTCATTCTATTACTCGTTGCTTATTATATTCCCCACGGTGCTCATCACCTATCTCTCTTTTGGCGTGTTCTTCATGTCCCATGAAGCACCTTGGCTCAGAGCAGGTTCGGATGCAAGGAAGCTGTTGCAATGGAAGATGTCGCTAAGTCCCCGTGGCTAGTGTGATCGGTTGTCAAGGTCAGGTTGGTGAGCATGGCACCCTAACCCACATCCTTCACCAAGACTTTTGTCAACTTATGTGTACAACCTTCACCCGAAGCTCCCGACCATCAAAAACAGGTCGGTGAACGCCTGTCCTTCGGCATCACCTTGCTGCTCGTGATCGAGGCTGGTGTCAAAGAATAAATAGCTTTGTCACAGGGTGCCAGGGTCGAGCTTCCAGTTTGGGAGCAGATTTCCAAGCAGGTTGAACCGAAAAAGCGGAGGTGCTGCCTTCTGTTGTGTCAGTCTACTGCTGCGGTGTCACTTTTGTACCTTTTGCGTTTTGCGCGTAGAGGTTTCGAGTTTGACTAGGCTTTGGGGTTTGCAACGCAGTTTTGGGCCGTTTTAAACAGGGTTTACCATTGACATTTCTGATCAAGGGTTGCAGTGTACATGCAACAAGTGTGGGTTGCCAAACACATCATTTTGGAGCTTCGGTTTTTGTCACCCAACATCTCCTTTGGGGGTTAAGGGGTTGCCGTGTTATATCATCCCTTGTCTCCATGATTCTATGGCTCCATGAGTCATGATTTAGTATACTACCTTCTTGTCACTCTGTTTCCTTTGTCGATCAGTGGTTGGTCCTGCAGTTCTCATAGTTAAAAGCAATGCGTGCGTCCCTCACGCTCACGCCTCAAGACGGGTTGGCCGCGGACCGAGGTCATGAAGACGACAGGAGCCTCCTTCGTCCCCGTTTGTGGCGAGCTGCTGTGGATTGACCTTTTCATGCTGGTGAACACCGTTTTTTGCTGCGCCAGCTTGGTGGAGACCATGGCAGTTCTGTTTTTCGCTTTTCATGTGGATCAACACGCGCTTCCCAACTGGCTGGCTTGGGCTGCCCCTTGGTGCCTTTGCCGATTGGCCCCAAATCCGTTGGCGGAGTCCAATGCTGGCCGGATCTTCCGTCAACTGAATGCGGAGAAATCGGTGCTATTGAGAGATACCACAAAAGCGTTCCAGAAAGGAGCAAAGATCCAGGAGCTCTCCGAGGCTGACTTGTCTAAGACAGACACAGAAAGGCTGATTTTCTTTGAAAACCTCTTCTACTTGCTAGACACCAACTCGAACGGCCTCATCACCATCGAGGATGCTTCCTGCATGCTCCCGGGACCCGATCTGATTTCCTGCAAGCAATTTTGCTAGGAATCAGGGTGCCTTAACTTAGAGCCTGTCTACCGCCTGTGAGGTTGAGCTTCGTGAACCTGGGCCTTTCACGGATGGCCTTGGAGGACATCTTGCTGTCAGCATGGGAGCCGAAGCAGCTCTTCGATTGTCGAGATTTTTTAGAAATTTGTGTGGAGCTCCTGTGGACCATCCCTTTCAAAGAAATCAAGCTGGGTGCTGAGAACTACATCAGCTCGCATAACCGGCACACCAAGCGCTGCCATACCTATTGGCTTAAGTGGTCAAAATCGGTGGACAAGTGGTCTCGATTCTGGCTGCCACTTCTCTATACCATCGCCTTAGGCTTTCTCCTAAACCTGGACTTGACCGACTACTACGATCAAGGCTCCGAGATGTTTCAAGGCTTTGGGCCTATGAGCATGTCTCTTCCTGGCCTCATCCAAGTGTCTTCGGCTGCCCCTTCAGCTTAAGAATCAAGTCCTTATAAGTCCCGTCGAATGCCGCGCGCTTTTCTGCGGCCCTCCAAGACTCCAAGGCCTTGATCACGCCCACCGTAGGCGTCATTTCAATTCTTACCTGGTTGCGGATGCGGCGGCTGTCCAAGCAGTGGCGGAAGCAGGAGAAGGCCGCCATGAAAGCCAGGGACACTGGGCACGCAATCGAAGGGGTCCTCGTAAGACAAAGGTGCGCAACTTTGGACCACTACACACTTCATACGCCCAGCAAAAATTAAACCCTGCGTATGACAGACACATCTAGCACTCATCTAGCTCAAACCTAGTACACAGGACCACACTGACGCCGCCTGTCCCCCAGCAATAGCAGCGGGTGGACTTTGAAACGCATCACGCAACCCTCAAAAAAGAGCTGCCTTTAGATGCCCCAGATCTCCTCCTCCCGAAGGTCTCTTTGTTGAATTCCACAGTGGTCCCATCCGATCAGGATTCTGTGCCTGATGACTCTGGCCGGGCCAGGCCACGATGGACACACAGGCACATCGCTGAAAGTAGGGTCAAAAGGATTTCGGGCGAGAGGGCTTATGGCATCTGAGTGGCACTGAACTCAACACATTTTTTCTCAGTGGCCCCGCATGAACTGGCATCCTTCTTCAGGCCCCAAATCCGAAACCCCCCAAGATCTCCTAGCCTGAGGACACCGTGACTTCTAATTCGCCCTATGATGCTGCAAAGCCCTCATGGTGCCCGGCAGGTCAGACGGATCGGGATCGGGGCCCCCCAACATGGGAGAGGCAGCTTGGTTACAGAGCACAGGAGGACCTCAACTGGCAAAGTGCAGGTTTCCCTTTGCGCAATGCGCATTTCTCAGTAGAATCAACACCTCTGACAGAGGATGAACCCAGAAAGGGAGGAAGAAGAAGGAACTCAGAGCAAGAAGACGATTCCTAACGCTGACCTAGGATCTCACAAGAACAAAAGAACAAGGATCCACAGAAAGCTGTCGGCTTGGCTCACGATGAAGAAACCAGACAGACAGGCTAGAATCACGCGAAATGGGGGGGATGAAACGGCAGATGCAGTTAAAGTTAATGCCATGTCCTACGTCTTCCTGAGTTATCCAGCTACCCGTGGTGTCTTTTGGCGAATAATTCTAGGATGAGGGAGTTGATTGATTCTTTTGGGTTCACACAGTGCTTGCCATGCCAGCTGGGGCTTCAGGGCGGTTCGCCGCCGCTCAGGTACTCTCTGAACGCATCGTGTCCGCGAACTGCAACTGAATGACATGTGAGTCAGCCAAAGTGGCATGAATTCGCTAGTCGATGCTGATCTCGCCAAAAGTTGCGCGGACGAGCATTGCGCACGAAATAATTCCAAACACCCGCCAGCCTCGCAGAAACCTCCACGGTGCTGGCTAAGACGGCCAAAACCGCCGAGCTGGACAAGGCATCCCTAATTACTGGCTGGCAGTTTGGAAAGAGCCATCAAGAAGCAGTGCCCACTTTAGCCACCGGAACCTTGCAATGCATTGCCGCCTTGCGAACACTCACTCTCTGGTGCTCACGATCTCGATCTGAATCCCAGCAGTCCTCCTCCTGAACATGCCAGATAGATAGGCCTCTATTGTCCCACTGCCTGGGGGGCACAAGCAAGACACCGACTGGACCCTGCAAAGTGATACTGTTGTGCCTGTCGCAACACTTCAAGGGCGGATGATGCAACTTTGTGTCACTCGCAGGTTCGCGCACAATCCCATGGAAGGCATTTTCAAGTCCATTTCTCTCCTCCAGGCCTTGCAAGAGGTGCGCTACATGAGCTCAGATGCTCGCCTGTCACGACCTCAGAGTTTGCCAATTCAGGCAACGGCAACTTGTCCTTCTGTGCCCTGCCTAACCCAGACCTCGGGCTTCGACTCAGGCCGCAGCTGAGACAGTCTTCACTGCAAAGTGCGGCGCTTATGGCTTCCCCCTAGTATGGCGGGTTGAGCTCCATAAGCCTCACACAGCGCATGGGCACAATCTTTGTTTCGAGCTTCCGTCCTAAAGCCTTGGCACCTGCCAGGCCTTCAGGTGATCAGTGAGATCACAGCTTCTGCCGAGTTCCGCTCTCGCTGTGCTGAGGCCTGAAGGGCTTTTGAATTTCAGGAGGGGCCAACATGGTCAACAGGGAGCCTTATAGGGAGTCTAGAATGGGCGCTGCTCACAGTCAGGACAGGCACTCTTCGGGTGAGAAGCTTGGCCTCCCAGAGGGCCCAAAAAACTCCCTGACCCCAAAGCTCAAGGTCACTTTCGGAGAGATGGGGCGTCAAGTGTTTTGAAGTGTTCAGAGGCACCCCCAGAAGCGCTGGAGCCGGAGATGCTTGCAGGCGAGTGGGGACGACTTTTTGGCTGTGAGAGGGCTGCCAGGCTACAGAGCACATTTACGAAGGGAGCGTACGGTGTCTATCTAAAGGCTGTCACATCGATTTGACCCCCCTTGAAGCTTTAAAGCTAACATCCCAAGGATTGAGGTCTTACTCCGCGCCTCGGGCCGACGACAGGACTTGCTGACGCATGCGCTGAAGCATCGCCGGCCTCCGACGCGGCGCCAAGCCCCACGCCACCGGAGCCGATGGAGGCCCGAGTCCCAAAAGGGAGGTCCTGCGGGCCCCAGGCCACACAAGATCTAACATAAAGCCTGCCAACAAGACCTTAAACAGCTTTGAATCCTGAGCCGCAGTCTTCGAAGAGGCCCTGCCGCCTCCCCCGCCTTTAGGCCGCGGGGCTTTCAGGGACGAGGGGTTGGTTTGGATCTTTATGTCAGGGCTTTAGGGGGGGGTTGGCTGTGTTGGGCTGGCTGGGGCTTGAGCACCTGAGTTTTACTCACAGCCTTAGTTGTGGAGCATCTGCCATCTGAATTTCTTCAGCTGGGAGGGGTTTCCATGGAGGCTCTCTCAACACTTCTTCGCTCAAGCCCGCTAACTTCGGAGCAAGATTCAGGTAATCATGCTGGATTGGTGTCTTTGCGAGAAGCAGAGACAGACAAGTACTCAGCTGACAGCGCCAGGTACGGTGCATATGGTGGAGGCAGATGCGCACCCTGATTCGCCGCAGCAGCCAGAGGCTGCAATGCGGACCGCGCAGCTCACATTTTTCAAAGGATTTTCAAATCCAAAAGCCTGAACTTAAACAGCCGGTGAGCAAGAGTAGTGCGCATGTCTTGCTGTGCAGCGGTTGCACTCGGTGCAAGTAACTCGTGCCTCTGGGCCCCCTTTGGCAGGCGCACTCTGAAGCACAGGGCCAGGCGATGCTTGGGCATGCTTGCGAAGGGTTTTGTGAGATCATGCTCTTGCTGTTTGCTTTACGAAAGGTTGCACCTAGTACCTCGGGATGTTGTCTACAACGCAGCATTCAGGCTACAGTAAGCAACATGAGATTCAACACAAAGCCAAAAAGCGAGCCCAAAAGCAGCCAAGGATGGTGGAACCCCAGCGAGGCCAAGAATGCTCGCAGGACCTACTTCTCTTGAAGCCACTTGTGGGCGGACACGCAAGTCTCCTACCCCATGGTTGAGGCTTCAGGGCTGGAGACGCCACAGCCTCCCAAAGCGTGCAAAGCTCAGCAGGAAGAAGAGGATCGCTTCTACGAGCTGCTCTTCGCAGCGGCGGCCTCCTCAAGGGGCTCAGTTTCCGAGTCGCAGGCAGAAGCAAAACAGCCTTGGCGTGATCATGTACTAAAACCCTAGTCTCAAGCGGGGCTTGGCAAGTTGCTTTTTTTTCATACCTTATCATATGAAACCCATGGTAGCTTGCAAGTCGGCTTGCGTTGAAGATTCAGCCACAGTCCACAGTCAGCCTCTCAAACCTCAAGCCCTGTCCGCAGAAAAGCCTGGAGAAGAACCCCTTATAAGCCCCTGAAAGAAACCTTGATGCCCGGTGTCTAGCCCGAGAATCGAAGCTCCGCATGAGGTGCTCCCGCTCCTGGGCGATGGCTCCTCGATGTCAAGCTCGCAGGCGGCTAACGGGACCAAGGGGCGGAGTGTGGAGTCCAAGCTGTGGGACCTCGCTTGAAGCTAAGGGTCTTTGAAAGGGCTGTTGAATTATTGGACCGGACCTTGCTTGGGAAGGTGAATTACTTGCTGGAGAAAACTGGTCGGGAGCCGATCAGAGACATTGTTGCGCCCATGGGAGTAAGGTCGGGTCAGCTAGCGTACGATCAAGCGAGAATCTTGCACTTCCGAAAGGCTGACGCCGTTCAAGAGTCTTTCACAGCTTCAAAGCCTCCGTCCTCTAAGGCTTGTCCGTGGCAGAGCTTGAGAGCTCCGGCCTCAGCGCTGGCACAGATGCCGAGGCGCGCCATGGGGGGCAAGAGAGGGGGTTGCTCTTGCCCCTAAGCGAATCCTCGCTGGCTGCTGCCTTGTCCGCATAACAAGGACTTTAAAGCCCAATGAACACATTCAATGCCCCTAGATGTGAGTCTGACTGAGTCTGTTCCGGACGAAAGAGACCTGGGTCAGCAGTGCCTGAGATAAGAATCCCAAGTCCTTGCGCGCAGGTCTCGTTGGCTTGAGGTTGCTATTTGATGCTTGGGTTTTTGAGAATCGAGGCTTCTTGAACAAGATACGAAACCCTCGTAATCCCTCAATCCATGCGGTACTAGCTGAGTTATCTGCACAGGTGGAGGCCGATGGCGTCCGCCAGCTTCTGCAGAAGGCCGTCTGTCGCCCAGCGGGCTGACTTTTGATGACTGGGTAGAAAATGGCTCTTGGCTATTCTTACTGTTGGTTATCCTTATACTTATTGTTGGTTAGTAGGGAATGGGGGAATGAGATACCCCATACAATCCCTTAAAGGGTATATAGGGCCGTAGTTCCTTCATTCCATGCTAACCAAAGTAGGCATTTAAGTGCTTCGACCGAATTGTGGGGCATAAAGTGTATGGGGCTGCGACTTGAGATCAGCTGTGCGCGGCGGTTTTCGGACGAGCGTTTACATTCAACTTAACCCAGACAACCGAAATCCTCAGCACCAACGCAGCACTCACCAGCCGAAAGTCTACGTCGATGAGGGAATGGTCTCGATTCGCACGTCGTTTTGGGACCAGACTTGGGGTAACTTTGAAGTGGTGCTTCTCCTTGAGCAGCATCATGACCTGGAGTTGCTGTAGTACTTCTGCTGACACAGAAGAACCGGCAAGGGTTATGTGAGGAGTCTTGTTGTTAGTTGGCTGGTAATGCATTAAACTGACTGCAACAGGGTCGGCTTGTCGGGCGTTCCTTGGAACCCTTTCCAGATTTGGGTACAGATCTCCGCATTGCCTTTTGTGCTGAGCAAGCCACTCACCGAAGATAATCTGTGTGAGGAGATTCCAACAAAACATAAACGGAATTCGCAGTGTTTCTGATGCCAACCCAGGCAAAACTTCAGGCAAACTTGCCCCTGGCCTTGTCCTGAGCACGTTGCTGGCCATACCGGCTCTGTACACGTCATTTCCCTTGTGCCTGCCGTGACGCCCATCTGCCGACAGCAGGAGATCCTCTAAAGCTGGTGTCAAGCTACGCTGCAGGATCAGCCAGCCTCGCGTGTGCCGTGGTGCGCTGCCTAGCCTCGCCTAGCCTTTGCCTAGCCTTGCTCCTTTCAGGTTCGCATTAGGATAAGAGGTTACGACTCTGTTGGAGGTTTGGTGGTGGTGTAGCTTTGTTTTTTCAGGATATGCGACGTCTGGGGAGCTGCTGCTATTGGAGTCTTGTTGGGGATTGTTGGGGTGTACGCTGTCGCAGAGCCCTATAATATAAGCTCAGGATCGACGGCCTACGATGGGACGGCAAACGCGTGCGGATCGATTGGTCCAAGTTTCACATCACGTGAACCAGAAGAAAAAGGAAGGAGGTTTGGATCGCATCTGAATTAAGTTGGTTGCAGCTGAGAGTCACGTAATGCTTAGATGTTTGAATGGCCTACTGCAGAAGGCCTCAGATTCCTAACGCCAGTTGCAAGTAGCTGTGGTCTCCCGCTACCAAATAGTCAAAATAGTAGCGCATAGTCTGTGGCAGCCCTACAGCCACCGTTGCCATTCATTCGGCTCGCACTGGGGAGAGGGTCCCAGCAGCCCGGACGAGGACCGACACGCCAAAACCAAGGCTTTTGTAGTCCGTTTAGTGGTGTCAATGCAGGGGTTTCTTGGGTGATCTCGGAATCAGGCAAAGAAAAACCACATTAAAAAACACTTACCAGGCTCCATAGGCTCGCACAAGGGAAAGGCAAAAGCGGCCGCAGGACTGCTGCCCAACACAGGCAGCAGTGTCCATCCCCCAGTCTTGGGACCAGGAGTTGGATTTCTTGCAGGTGTTGCTCTGGTTCCATGTTTGCAGTTTCATTTGACTTTATGGGGCTTTTCGGGAGGGATGTCTATACAGACAAGTCTCGAGACAGGCAGTTCCATGGCAGCTGTGCACCGACACACAGTACGGGCTCCACCTCCTGGGCCTTCTTCTGATGTATGAAGTGTCCCCTTCAACATTGATTACCCAAATTCAGCAAATGCAAGGCCCACCCCCAAGCTCCCCCTCAATGGACTCAGCCCTACCAAGCGCATGCACGTGGAATGAGGCCTCCAGGATGGTGGACGAGCTCCACAACTCCGAGGAGGGGTAGTGGAGGGGTGCCACTGTGGTGCTTTCGACAAGCACCTAGTGTACTGAGTGCTACTTAAGACTTAAGACTCAGGAGTTCCGAAAGGACCTTCGGAGCCTCCCGAAAATGTGAGGGCCCTTGGTGTTAGTGACCCCGAAGGCCAGTTTTTCTTTCATTTTGGATTTGGGGCTCCGGCAGCAGCTCAGAGCTTGGAGTTGATTGAGTCCGTGAGGATTCAGCTTGGGTGCAAGATGACGCCCGGGGCACAGCTGCGGAAGTTACTTCCCCAAACAGTGCGGCGCCGTTGTCGTTCGATTTTTCGCGCGTCAATCGCTGGCAATCGAAAACGCGGCTGGCGATGTGCTTTCCTCTCTTGGACAGTTTGGATCGGTTTCGTGATGCTTCGTGCATCCATCACTGTGATTCGGGTCTCACGCTGTTCGAAATCGCGTTCTCGTCCACATACTCCTCACGAGGGCAGAGCTCTCGTCGGCTTCGGGTCTTGGATCGTGCCTTCGTGAGTCACACTTTGCGATGTGCCGTCGTCGTCGTTTTGCACTGACCGTGCATTGTAGGACTCTTGAGATCTACGCTGGCATAAAAGGCTCCAGGCCAATCCGACCTCCCATCCTCCGCGTGAATCTGCAAGGCATACGGATTTCTGGGAGCAGTCGTAGTTTTTTCCGCGTGGCTTAGCCGAACCACATGGTTTCGTGCCCCTCCAAGACACCGGCACATGTCCCGAAGCCGGGGAGCACGCCCATGAGTTGTGACCGGCGCAGCCCCTTGGGGGAAGGTCTTTACTCCGGTTTGAAGCACTCCTTGGTTGGCAGTTAAAGACTGAGCCCCGCTTTGAGGTCGAGCGAATTTGCACGGAGACCCTCGATCTGCACCTCAAGGAGCACCAGTACAGCGAGGCAAGAGCGGATGCGGCTCAGGGGCCCGGAAAGGTCACCGTAGGTCACCTGTGCCCTTTCAAAGGATCCCCACGGGCCGCAAAGCCATGGGATTAGGCGGTCTTTCGACATGATATGCGTTTTCCGCTTTGATGCTTGAAACTCCCAGATCACATGCCCTAGCATTCGCGTTTTGTTCGAGCTGGCTTGCATGGGACTTTCAACCGTAAGGATCACGAGTGCATCCGCAGACGTTTGTCTGATCACGTTCGAGACTTCCACTCGGTCTGCACATCCTGACCGGTGCACGTACTGAGCAGAATGCCGCGGCCCGTCAGGAAATGGTGCCTCACTGGATCAACGAGATCTGCCGCCTGGCAGGATAGGCTTGTGCCAGTGCTCCAGCCATCAGCTGTCAAGTGTTTCCACCGTTCAGCCTGCAACTCTAGTCCTCGGCCTGAGTGCCGAAGCCTTAACATCGTCCGTGGCTCCAGCAGCAACTGCCCTTACCCAGGTGAAAGCATAATGGCCAGACTGTGCTGCCGGCAAGTTTGCTTCAGGGCGACGAGTTCCGATTCAGAGAGATGGGATCATTCAAGTGATTCCAGTGCCTGTCTCCGAGCTGTCCAAGCCTGTAGGCATTCCTTAAGCCCCAGGCCTGGAACCCAGTATCCACCACAGAGGGTGCTTGAGCTTAGGCCTTGGGGGTTTCTGAGGCAGCTGAACAAGAACCTCTCGATTCCACCCCCCTTTCAGTATCCGCACATGTCCCTATCACTGCTCCTGAACTTTGTCGGCTTCTGTGGGCCATGGCTCGCCTGGGCGGGGCTGCAGAGGCTGTGAGGACCTGGGTCAGCCAGGCCCTTCTTGGGAGGGGATGCCAAAGATTTGTTTGACTTCTTTTTGATGCGCTCATGGGCTGTTCTGGAGCAGTGTTGCGAGTTGTGCTATGACTGCTCTAGTTGGAGAACCGCGCTTGCCTTGTTGGCGTGAATGTTGCGTATGTGTTGCAGGTTGTGCTGCATCATGGCCTATGCCCTTGGGCACAGTTGGCGGAGCAAAGCAAGGTAGTCACATACCTGTGCCTTGGCTTGTGTCCAAGCGGGAGAGGCCTTGTTACTCGTACTGGCATCTCGCGCAGAATCAGGCAATCTGTCCGAACAAATGGGCCTCGTCTCCAAAGACCCGCAAACATCCATGCATCCCCATGCCCAAGCAACCTTGGATTTGATTCAAACCCAAGTATTATGTTCAAGTAGTATGCTACCATGCTTCCTAGAACCGTAGCCCCAGAAGCCGAAAGCAGCGACGACACACGCAAGGACTGCAAGAATGAGCTGTAGTATGCAGATTTGGCCAGCAGCAACAGAGCACTGATTGGAAGCCTCCAACGAGGCCTCAACACGCCAACAAAACCTCAGGACATGTGAGGCGACCACTCCGGCGGCTGTGGGCACAGCGGTGCGCGCGGAGGCGGCACGCCTGGTCAGCCGGAGAGCTCCCCCTTCTGCATGAATGCTGCAAAGAGACCTGCGTAGATCTGCATAGACCTGCATAGGGAACAGCCTGAGCAACTGAGTACAGAAGCTGGGCTGTTTATGTTCGGGTTATGGAAAAGTGAGGTTCCATGGGCCACTTCGCTGGTCGTTTGCCCGCATGTGGTGCAGCTAGGCTGCGTTTACGCTCGCCGAGTGGCACTTATCTTCTGTCCAAGCCTAAGCAAAGATGCAAGACTTCCGGGGCCTCCTGCAAAGTGAAGTGTTCATATGTAGTGACTGTAGTGTTCATGTGCTGAATATATCCCAAGCTTGCGAGCCTTCAGTTCGACTCCGATAAACTTGTCGAGGCCATGGCAAGAAGACTTCCGCGTATTTGATGATTGGGTGGCCAGAAGTAACCATTTAGACGACCTGGAGGAGTGCCCAGCCCCATGCCCGAACAGCTCCCAACGCAGCTCAGTTCAATGTTCCGGGGGGGTGTGGACGAGGACTTGGTGTCCCTGGTGGCTTTCCATCCTCGCTTTGCTCGCTGGCATGCGCTGGATCCTTCCGTCACTGAGGGCACCCAGGTGACCTCCCACTACGAGGCAGGTAGGTGTTCGTGGGTGGGCCGCGGTTTCGTTGGTTACATCAGGGCTGCTTGACTGAGGAGGTGGATGGAGAGAAGAGCAAGAGGGCCCTGCCAGCCGTGGTCGAGTGCCTGGACCCCAAGCAGGTGGGAGCCGACCCAGTGCGTCCCAATGCTCTCCGCTATTCTAACAATCCCTAAGCCCTTCATGAGAAGTCAGGTGGGAGTTCGACGCATCGGCATCCGCTTCATAGATGATGGTGTGCTGCAGTGGGTGCCAATGGACTGGCTGTCGCCATCCTGGACATCTGGGGGGGCGGGCGAGATTCTGCCGGCTATGCAGCTGTGCAGCATTTGAAGAATCTGCACGCGTCACCTTCAAGAGCGCAGGAAAGCTGCGGAGCTCCTGGCTGACAACCAGATGCATCAGGCTCCATTTCCGACGGCATCTTCGCCGGTTCCCTTTAGCAGCCCATTTTCGTTTTTTTGAGGGAGTGTGAGGAATCAGCCATTCAGTGATTCGGTTTTGGATCGGATGTTTCTTTGTCATGCTGTCAGAGCTCAAGTCCGCCATGTCAGGTCCACCTTATTCGCCGCAAGGACCTGGCTTCTGTTCGATGCAGCAAAGACGGCTACGAGGTCGTTGCCTCTATACAGGCACGTAACAGCCAGCACCTCTCGAAGCTCCGAAGCAACGACCTGGTGGAAACAAAAAGGTGCGTCGGCGAGGTGCTTGCTGCGACTTTAGTAAACGCAAGGCCAAAGCCCATCAAGTGAGAAGGAAAGTAGTTGCAGATGCAATCCTCCCAGTGCTGTTGACGTGGATCTTGCGCGATATGCTCTCTGGCGGCCAGGAATGAGCAGAAGAAGCCCTTCAAGTACATAGTCTCATGCAGCTTAGCTTGCAAGAGCAGAAGATAGTAACCACCCCAAACTAACCCCACAAAGCTCAGACCGGCCCTCATCTCCAGTACCAGAAGATAGATTGCTTTCAGGGAGACGGGAATGGACACGGAGAACGAAACGAGTTCACGAAACGAATTAGATGCCGAGAAGAGAGCGAACAACCCAAGCCACACAAGGTCAGGCCGCTCCATGCGTAGAACCCGTTGCCCCCCCCCCCAGCCCTGCCAGCTCACTGCAGCTTGGGAAAAGTTTTGTCAGCCGTACGTAAGGATTCCGGGACCAAGTCATGTTCATGCCAATATGTATAAAAGGAACACCTCAATGCACATGTGCAGGCAGTGTGCAGGCATGTGCCTGCGCCAGTGTGCGTACATGCATTGACATACACATGCATACCTACATGCATACATATAGGAAAATGCGTGCGTAGAATTTCGAAGTAGATCAATGTTTTTTGGATTCATATATGCAGGCACGCATGTATGTACATGCAGACATGTAAATTCAACCCTGCCCCAAAAGCTGCCGGACATTTTGGAAACCCAAATTCCGGAAGCTTGCAAACTTGAAAAATCGGCGTTTCGAAGCAAGAAACTAAAATTGGAGACCTGTGGGGGTGGAAATTTATGACTACGGAAACCTGCTCCCCTTCGTATGCAAAGTATTTTGTTTACAGTGTTTCCCTCATCTTCTAGCTACAGAAATATGGACCAGCTTTGGATGATAGGCTTCGTCTTTTGCCGAGACTTCCTTTAAATCCGTGCGCAGACTGGGTCTGTAGAACTGCGCAATGATTCTTTAGCGTGAGCTGGGTGCTCACCAAACGCGTTAGAATGCAACTTGATCCAAGAGTCCTGTGGTGCCACTCTGCGTCATAAAGGCTGCAAAAGGCCGCTGAGGTTTCAGGATGGATTCGAATATAGACCAGGGAGGGGGGGGGTTGGGTCTACAGTTCTGCCACGACAGCAGGGTAAATGAGCAGTACAAGCCTCAGAAATCGAAAGTTCTGAGAAATGCAGTATGTGGGTGGGCCATGGTGGGCCACAATGCTGGGCGGCTGTGTTGCCTTGATCTTATTTTTTTCTTCGGGGCAATTATGGAGACGCAGCTGGGCTTCGGGATTTCGCAGGCATCATCATGCAGCGGAATGGCCGGCCTCTCAGACTTGGGCCAGTCTCAGCACTTCGACTTGCAGGATGTTGGCATTGGGGGTTCACAGCCGCAGAAAGGTGTGAGTGGCAACCCGGCGGCGCGCACGAGACCAGAAGCAACAACAAACGAACGTGCTACACCCATAACCCCCCTTCAGCCTGAACGCCTTGAGGAATTCCGTGTGTAAGAGCCCGCTGTGGGGGTGTAAGCGATCCCCGCAATCTGAGGCGCTGGCTTGCACACGGCCACCTCGTGCTTCTGGGATGCCGGGAACGATGGGGAAGCTTGGTGGCACCAAGGAGGCGAAAAGCAAGTTGCAGTAATTGGAGGGCTTTGGCGGCTTAGGGCAACAACTTGGCGCCCCGACTTATTTGGACTAGGCAAAGCACGCAGAGCTTCCACACCGGAAGAAGGGTCAGATGGAATCGGGGTTTGGCGGGTTGGCTGTTGGACGAGCTGGCTGGGAAAGCACTGAGAGCCAAGCCCTCGTTCCAACAAGCGCTTTAACTCATTTGAGCCCACCGAGGTCTACACGTACGTGTGGCCGAGAGAAAAGCCTGGCCCCTCAGAACCTAGGCGGGTCTAGACTCTTCGACTAGGGCCTAGGGCATTTCAAGGTCTTTAACAAGTCAAGCCTCGATTGCTTCATGGACCTCGCTCGTCACTATGTGTCACAATCTCTGAGAGAGATTCGGACGCCAGGCGCTAAGTCAACGACGACGGGAGGCAATAAGAACGACCTCAACCGGCGATCTCAAAGCATCTCCCCAAATTTCGTCGTTCCGAGGTCCAAAGATGTGGTGAACAAGTCCATGTACTGCGGCACGGTTGCACTTGTCATCCGCGAACGGGCAACCCTGTGCATGCCCGAAACTTTCCTGGCTTGTTCATTCGGCTCACTCATTCACTTAAAAAGGCCAAAAGGGAAAAATGATAGGGCCTTTTTAGTTCATTCCTTTTCACCTTCATTTCCAAGTCTATGAATCATCAACTTTCATGCGATGATTCGCCAGGGTTGGATGGGTAGTTCCAAGTGCTTGACTCCACACCTCGCATAGGTGCCATAGCCCAGACCTCAAAGTCCAAGCCCAAGCCTCGACAGTTCTTCCGGCAACCTCCATGCCAACCTCCTTTGAGGCATCGTCACCGTGTTCGGGCTCGAGTTCTGAGGTGACATCCTTGGGACTTCTATTTCTTGAACTTTGTCAAGGAAGGTTGGAGCAGACAGGGTTTAAGGATAGATGGGCCCCATCAGTGTTCCTAGCACACTCCGGCAGGCCCACAAAGTAGCGACGTCTCACCGTGACGGCTTCCTTGGTGCATGGTGCCTGTCAAATGACGGCGGGTGTAGAGCTGTCCGACAAAAAAGTGATGCCGGATGCTTGCAGGGTGTCGAGATTTGTTGGCATGATGGGAATGTTAAGGTTTGTGCTAGCTCAAAGACAGGGCTGTTTGCAACACAAAGCTCAAAAACACCCCGACCTTGGAACATCTTGGCCCTGGGTAACTTGCACAAGCCGCACACTAGGCACAGGCGCCAGGCAAATATCAACCTGTGGAGTTGAAGCAAGAGGGCTTCCCACGAACGATTGGTAATGGGGGGTTTTCCACAGCCCCAATGGAGCCAGCCAGCAAGATGCATTTCCCACAGAAGCGCAAGTGGAAGGAAAGCGAGCTATCCGCACCACGGTTTGATGCCGTCCTGCACACATGATCTATGAATTCTGGTAGGCCAAAAGGGACTTGATGTGCCTTTTGCCCTTTGCCGGTGTAACTTCAACTCGAACGGGCAGCCGGAAAAGGTAGACGATGCGCGCTGCGCCGTGGAATTGGGACAGACACGCAAACATAGCGCAAACTATGTTTGGAACAGGACTACTGACACGCGCGTCATGCCCCGAGTGCCCCAAGGACATTGCGTACTGGCGGACGTGAGATGCATGAGGTCATGTTGCTGCGCAGTTTGAAGAAAGCAGAGGAGGACAGGGAACTATTGCACAGGACCTATCTATCTGCTTCGCAGAGTGCATCAGAGTGCATCAGCTGGAAGACTCTCAACCCTAGCCTTGTCTCTACAAGACTCTACAACCTTGAAGCCCGCCTTCAACGTGAAGGGCAGTTTAGCTTCAGCACGCCCTGGCAATGGCCGGCCAACTCAGTTTTCTCAGTGCCTCGGCTCATGCTAGGCAACATGTCATGGGTTGGGGGCTGTTGGCGAGCGAGCGAGAGAGCGCGAGAGAGTAAGAGAGAGTCTGGGTTCGTGCAAGAGGGAATCGCAAGGCTCTTGTGTTCAGCTGAATTTCCGTAGACTGCTGGGAAATGAAACCTGCTCGGCGATTGTCCGGTAGAGCAGGTTGAAGTAGGTTAAGCGCATCAACGTAACTAGCAGCTAGCAAAGGTATGTTTTGGCACCCTTCGCACGAACGGATCTCAACTATTCAAGCCCGGACACATGACTTGTAGCGTCCACAGATGATCGAGTGAGGCCGATCGATGGACAGACATAAACCTACTTTGGACCTCAGATCCTTTTAACACCCGGAGAGAAGGCCACTTTCGAAGGCCTTCACATTGCAGCACAGCAGGTGGTTGAATTATTTGTTGGCTCCGTAAACCGTGAGAATCGAAACCCTAAAAAGGGCTCTCGCCGAAACACTCGGAAAGCGGTGAGCATCGTTCTGTCGCCGAGCTGCAGCGAAGAGTCAGCCTCTCGGACTCTTAGGCTTGGCTCCATGCTTGTGAGCTTGCAAGCCGCCCCGGACTCGGTTGAAGCGGACACAGTTGGGGATGGGCGGGATGACCTGTGTGATGATTTGCAACGTAATTATGTTTGCACACTCTGAAGCAGACAAGCTCGAGAGCCTTTGAAGAGGTAAGCACTTTGTTAGGCACCCTCGCCACATCGCCGAGCGGGGGTCATGATGGGTGTCAGCAGCCCGAGATCACTATCACCATCAAAGTAAGACATTGGGCCATTGGAGTTGTCATGTTATGCCAGGGGACACGAGACAACGCAGGATATCACAAAGCCAAAAAACACACATAGCCACGCCTGCATGGTTGGGGAACATTTTGCACGCCGCTATGGATCAGGGAGAACAGCACCTGTAGCAGAAAGTATTCATCAAGCGGGCATCCTACTGTACATTTTCGAGAACATGGATTCTGCATGGGATCCAGCAGAACAGGAGTTATGAGGGGAATATATATAGAACGCTGAACTTACGCGTTCACAGCACTCATGTGCGGACGTGCACGTCATTTGTCATCCCTCGCCGTAGCTTGTGCTTATTTCGAAGGCCGATGATTGGATGCAATTTGCTCCTCAACGTCCCTCAAAAGAGCTTCGTTGCAAAGGTAAACGCTAAACCACCAAGCCACCGCATAGAGGCAGTGAAAGTGAAGCCCCTGCGAGCGAGCCACCAGGGTGAGCCACCGAGCCACCAAGCATGAAAGCTATCGGACTGAGCCACCGGACGCGAGTACCACGTACCGAACTTCAAAATGCCGACCACAAAACTCATGCGCGGATGGGTTGGGGAATGGGTATTTTGCATGCTGGGGCTCAGGGAGAACAGCAACCGGTGCGACCACGCAAACCTCCAATGGGACAAGAATGCAGAGCACTCGAGGTCGAGTCGTGCCTCCGGCATGGCGGAGCAGTCGGAAGCTTCGGAAAAGGCGGGGGGGAATGCTTGAAGACTTTCGAGGAAGGATACCAGTGAACCCGAATCGTCGCCAGTGCGGCTCGCAACCCTTCCTGCCTTTACCGAGAAAAGCAGAAAACGATGTGCAGAAGCAGCTCGAGCTGTTGGCCGAGCGCCTCGAACGGCTCGCCGCCGAGGTGCCATGTGCTCCTGAGGGTTCCAGGTCTAATTAGGCCTCAGTAAGGTTTGGGGCCTTAAGATGGCCTTAGGTGTTGAGAAAGGTCTGGGGTTTAGTGTTTTGCCGGAGCACAGATCGAACGTCACGCGGGACGGTCTGAAGATCGGGTGCGTTGCGCCTTTGCTAATATCTAAAATTGCGGGAACCAAGGAAGACACTGCGGCAGCATGTTCTCAGTTCTGGAGGGAATATCGCCATAATATCGCTCATGTTCGGAAAGGCAGCAAAGCCTCAAGGTTTCCCCCGAGCCCGCACATGTGCGGTTTGCAATGGACAGTCAGTTCTAGAAAGCTTATGCCTATGCGCCAGGAGCATTCTTTCCGCTTGCGCCGGGCAGCCGCACGGGGGCTGCCCTGTGGCTGCGCTTCAGATTACACTGATAAATACACGTTGACATGCTGCTTGGGGTCCTTGCTTGGCAAACCAAACCAAACCCATGTGCAACGCAAAGAACAACAAGCTTCTTGGGAGAGATCAAATGCAGTCAGCGAAACAGCGAAGGATACACTACAACTGTTACATAAGCACGAGAGGTCCCCGGCAGACGCGCGGCGGAGCGCCTCGGCAAGCCCGGCGAAACTGGCGAACCGCATGGTGCGTGCCCAGCAGTGCCCAGCTTCGCGAAGTGTGAGATTCTTTGAGTCGGTTCCAGCAAGTGAGCGGCGGCATCTGAACCCCCCACCAAAGGAGTAAGATGACGGGGGGCTTAGATTTGATTTGCATCCGCTTGGTTGCGAGAGCGCGAGAGAGCCCACAGGTTTTGGCAGTGTTTCGGGGTTTTCAGGCTTTAGAGTTCTCCTCTGCCATCAGCGAAATCTGCGTCGACGACTAGGGGTCGCTGTGTGGTGTTTATGGTGTCAGAAACTTTTGCTTTTTGCCTTGTCACACACAGCCCGCGTCAGGGCAACCCTGTTAAGGCCACGCGAGAGTTCGCGAGAGAACATTTCATATCATGGTCAATTGACAACATACGCTGTTGGAGTTCAGCAAACTACAGCAGGGCTCGTCTGTTGCCCCAAGAACCGGCCTTCCGTCCATGCCACTCTTGAACACCTGACACCTGACATGCGCTAACCACGTGCGCACAACTATGGGGGCTTGGGCCCAATATGCGCGCACACGCACACAAAGGATGTGGTAGAGGGTAGTGGCTCCATGGCCTGCTAGATGACTGTGCTTTCTTATGTTTCGCGGCTGTGCAGAAGGCCTATATCTTTCATAGCCCTTGAAGTTTCAAAGTCCCAAACTTCTAAGCAGAAAGCCTGTGCCCTCATGCCGATGCAAGTGCGTTGATCATTGCTTTGTTTTGTAAAGGAGAAGCTCGAGCAAGACGCCCAGCGCGCACGGCGCCGCAACGACGATGTGGGCGACTTCTGCTCCTTGGCTTGGTGCTTGAGTGCATCCGGGGCCTGGGGTGCGGATTATGGCTGCTTACGGCAGCTGTGGCGGAAATTAGGTTGGAGAGCCTAAGAGGATATCAGAAAGGGGTTCGCATTGTGGGACCGACAAATATGGAAGCATTCGCCAATCCTCTGCAAGGCCCAAGCAGCTGTCTAGCTGTCCTGATGCTCGCAAAATGCTCGCACTGCGTAGGACGCCTCCATTGCGGGTGATTCTGCTCACGCTGGGCGCCTCCGTTGGCCAATCTACAGCTGCAGCCCGTGATGCTCTCGTTGGGCACCTTCTGTGGCCAATCCGGGCCAAGGCTTGAGCAGCTGATGCTGACGATGGCCAAACAGGCACAAAACACCAAGCAGGCGCCCAGCAGGAGCATGAGCATCAGCTGTTGGCTGTGGCCAGGTTGGCCACAGAAGGCGTCCAGCGCGAGCATGATGCCCATGATGCTCGCGCTGGACGCCTGCTGTGCCCAACCTTGGTGAAGATATGGACAGCTGATGCTCACGATGCTCGCGCTGGGCGCCTACTGTGGCCAACCGTCGTCAAGGCTTGGACAGCTGATGCTCATGATGCTCGCGCTGGGCGCCTGCTGTGTCCAACCGGCGTCAAGGCTTGGACAGCTGATGCTCTTGATGCTCGCGCTGGGCGCCTGCTGTGGCCAACACTCGTGAAGGTTTGGACAGCTGATGCTCATGATGCTCGCGCTGGGCGCCTGCCGTGGCCAACACTCGTGAAGGTTTGGACAGCTGATGCTCATGATGCTCGCGCTGGGCGCCTGCCGTGGCCAACCGGCGTCAAGGCTTGCACAGCTGATGCTCATGATGCTCGCGCTGGGCAGCCTGCTGTGGCCAACACTCGTGAAGGTTTGGACAGCTGATGCTCATGATGCGCGCGCTGGGCGCCTACTGCGGCCAAGCGTCGTCAAGGCTAGGACAGCTGATGCTCATGATGCTCGCGCTGGGCGCCTGCTGTGGCCAACCGGCGTGAAGGCTTGGACAGCTGATGCTCATGATGCTCGCGCTGGGCGCCTGCTGTGGCCAACCTTTGTGAAGGTTTGGACAGCTGACGCTCATGATGCGTGCGCTGGGCGCCTGCTGTGGCCAACCTTCGGGAAGGTTTGGACAGCTGATGCTCATGATGCTCGCTCTGGGCGCCTGCTGTGGCCAACCTTCGTGAAGGTTTGGACAGCTGATGCTCATGATGCTCGCGCTGGGCGCCTGCTGTCGCCAACCTTCTTGAAGGTTTGGACAGCTGATGCTCATGATGCTCGCGCTGGGCGCCTGCTGTGGCCAACCTTCGTGAAGGTTTGGACAGCTGATGCTCGTGATGCTCGCGCTGGGCGCCTGCTGTGGCCAACCTTCGTGAAGGTTTGGACAGCTGATGCTCATGATGCTCGCGCTGGGCGCCTGCTGTGGCCAACCTTCGTGAAGGTTTGGACAGCTGATGCTCATGATGCTCGCGCTGGGCGCCTGCTGTGGCCAACCTTCGTGAAGGTTTGGACAGCTGATGCTCATGATGCTCGCGCTGGGCGCCTGCTGTGGCCAACGCTCGTGAAGGTTTGGACAGCTGATGCTCATGATGCTCGCGCTGGGCGCCTTCTGTGGCCAACCTTCGTGAAGGTTTGGACAGCTGATGGTCATGATGCTCGCGCTGGGCGCCTGCTGTGGCCAACACTCGTGAAGGTTTGGACAGCTGATGCTCATGATGCTCGCGCTGTTTGGACAGCTGATGCTCATGATGCTCGCGCTGGGCGCCTGCTGTGGCCAACGCTCGTGAAGGTTTGGACAGCTGATGCTCATGATGCTCGCGCTGGGCGCTTGCTGGGGCCAACCTTCTTCAAGGTTTGGACGGCTGATGCTCATGATGCTCGCGCTGGGCGCCTGCTGTGGCCAACACTCGTGAAGGTTTGGACAGCTGATGCTCATGATGATCGCGCTGGGCGCCTGCTGTGGCCAACACTCGTGAAGGTTTGGACAGCTGATTGGACAGCTGATGCTCATGATGCACGCGCTGGGCGCCTGCTGTGGCCAACCTTCGTGAAGGTTTGGACAGCTGATGCTCGTGATGCTCGCGCTGGGCGCCTGCTGTGGCCAACACTCGTGAAGGTTTGGACAGCTGATGCCCATGATGCTCGCGCTGGGCGCCTGCTGTGGCCAACGCTCGTGAAGGTTTGGACAGCTGATGCTCATGATGCTTGCGCTGGGCGCCTGCTGTGGCCAACCTTCGTGAAGGTTTGGACAGCTGATGCTCACGATGCTCGCGCTGGGCGCCTGCTGCGGCCAACGCTCGTGAAGGTTTGGACAGCTGATGCTCATGATGCTCGCGCTGGGCGCTGGCTGTGGCCAACCTTCGTGAAGGTTTGGACAGCTGATGCTCATGATGCTTGCGCTGGGCGCCTGCTGTGGCCAACCTTCGTGAAGGTTTGGACAGCTGATGCTCATGTGCTCGCGCTGGGCGCCTGCTGTGGCCAACACTCGTGAAGGTTTGGACAGCCGATGCTCATGATGCTCGCGCTGGGAGCCTGCTGTGGCCAACCTTCGTGAAGGTTTGGACAGCTGATGCTCATGATGCTCGCGCTGGGCGCCTGCTGCGGCCAACACTCGTGAAGGTTTGGACAGCTGATGCTCATGATGCTCGCGCTGGGCGCCTGCTGTGGCCAACCTTCGTGAAGGTTTGGACAGCTGATGCTCATGATGCTCGCGCTGGGCGCCTGCTGTGGCCAACCTTCGTGAAGGTTTGGACAGCTGATGCTCATGATGCTCGCGCTGGGCGCCTGCTGTGGCCAACGCTCGTGAAGGTTTGGACAGCTGATGCTCATGATGCTCGCGCTGGGCGCCTTCTGTGGCCAACCTTCGTGAAGGTTTGGACAGCTGATGGTCATGATGCTCGCGCTGGGCGCCTGCTGTGGCCAACACTCGTGAAGGTTTGGACAGCTGATGCTCATGATGCTCGCGCTGGGAGCCTGCTGTGGCCAACCTTCGTGAAGGTTTGGACAGCTGATGCTCATGATGCTCGCGCTGGGCGCCTGCTGTGGCCAACACTCGTGAAGGTTTGGACAGCTGATTGGACAGCTGATGCTCATGATGCTCGCGCTGGGCGCCTGCTGTGGCCAACCTTCGTGAAGGTTTGGACAGCTGATGCTCGTGATGCTCGCGCTGGGCGCCTGCTGTGGCGGACAGCTGATGCTCATGATGCTCGCGCTGGGCGCCTGCTGTGGCCAACACTCGTGAAGGTTTGGACAGCTGATGCTCATGATTCTCGCGCTGGGCGCCTGCTGTGGCCAACCTTCGTGAAGGTTTGGACAGCTGATGCTCATGATGCTCGCGCTGGGAGCCTGCTGCGGCCAACACTCGTGAAGGTTTGGACAGCTGATGCTCATGATGCTTGCGCTGGGCGCCTGCTGTGGCCAATCTTCGTGAAGGTTTGGACAGCTGATGCTCATGATGCTCGCGCTGGGCGCCTGCTGTGGCCAACACTCGTGAAGGTTTGGACAGCTGATGCTCATGATGCTCGCGCTGGGCGCTGGCTGTGGCCAACCTTCGTGAAGGTTTGGACAGCTGATGCTCATGATGCTTGCGCTGGGCGCCTGCTGTGGCCAACCTTCGTGAAGGTTTGGACAGCTGATGCTCATGTGCTCGCGCTGGGCGCCTGCTGCGGCCAACGCTCGTGAAGGTTTGGACAGCTGATGCTCATGATGCTCGCGCTGGGCGCTGGCTGTGGCCAACCTTCGTGAAGGTTTGGACAGCCGATGCTCATGATGCTCACGCTGGGAGCCTGCTGTGGCCAACCTTCGTGAAGGTTTGGACAGCTGATGCTCATGATGCTCGCGCTGGGAGCCTGCTGCGGCCAACGCTCGTGAAGGTTTGGACAGCTGATGCTCATGATGCTCGCGCTGGGCGCGTGAAGGTTTGGACAGCTGATGCTCATGATGCTCGCGCTAGGCGCCTGCTGTGGTCAACCTTCGTGACGGTTTGGACAGCTGATGCTCATGATGCTCGCGCTGGGCGCTGGTGGACAGCTGATGCTCATGATGCTCGCGCTGGGCGCTGGCTGTGGCCAACCTTCGTAAAGGTTTGGACAGCTGATGCTCATGATGCTCGCGCTGGGCGCCTGCTGCGGCCAACACTCGTGAAGGTTTGGACAGCTGATGCTCATGATGCTCGCGCTGGGCGCCTGCTGTGGCCAACCTTCGTGAAGGTTTGGACAGCTGATGCTCATGATGCTCGCGCTGGGCGCCTGCTGTGGCCAACCTTCGTGAAGGTTTGGACAGCTGATGCTCATGATGCTCGCCCTGCGCGCCTGCTGCGGCCAACGCTCGTGAAGCTTTGGACAGCTGATGCTCATGATGCTCGCGCTGGGCGCCTGCTGCGGCCAACACTCGTGAAGGTTTGGACAGCTGATTCTCATGATGCTCGCGCTGGGCGCTGGCTGTGGCCAACCTTCGTGAAGGTTTGGACAGCTGATGCTCATGATGCTCGCGCTGGGCGCTGGCTGTGGCCAACCTTCGTGAAGGTTTGGACAGCTGATGCTCATGATGCTCGCGCTGGGCGCTGGCTGTGGCCAACCTTCGTGAAGGTTTGGACAGCTGATGCTCATGATGCTCGCGCTGGGGGCCTGCTGCGGCCAACTCTCGTGAAGGTTTGGACAGCTGATGCTCATGATGCTCGCGCTGGGTGCTGGCTGTGGCCAACCTTCGTGAAGGTTTGGACAGCTGATGCTCATGATGCTCGCGCTGGGCGCTTGCTGTGGCCAACCTTCGTGAAGGTTTGGACAGCTGATGCTCATGATGCTCGCGCTGGGCGCCTGCTGTGGTCAACCTTCGTGAAGGTTTGGACAGCTGATGCTCATGATGCTCGCCCTGGTCGCCTGCTGCGGCCAACACTCGTGAAGGTTTGGACAGCTGATGCTCATGATGCTCGCGCTGGGCGCTGGCTGTGGCCAACCTTCGTGAAGGTTTGGACAGCTGATGCTCATGATGCTCGCGCTGGGCGCTGGCTGTGGCCAACTCTCGTGAAGGTTTGGACAGCTGATGCTCATGATGCTCGCGCTGGGCGCTGGCTGTGGCCAACCTTCGTGAAGGTTTGGACAGCTGATGCTCATGATGCTCGCGCTGGGCGCCTGCTGCGGCCAACTTCGTGAAGGTTTGGACAACCTTCGTGAAGGTTTGCTCATGACAGCTGATGCTCATGATGCTCGCGCTCATGATGCTCATGCGCTGGGCGCTGCTGCGGCGTGAAGGTTTGGATGCTCATGATGCTCGCGCTGGGCGCTGGCTGGCATGCCAATTCTGGACAGCTGATGCTCATGATGCTCGCGCTGGGCGCTGGCTGTGGCCAACCTTCGTGAAGGTTTGGACAGCTGATGCTCATGATGCTCGCGCTGGGCGCTGGCTGTGGCCAACCTTCGTGAAGGTTTGGACAGCTGATGCTCATGATGCTCGCGCTGGGCGCCTGGCTGTGGCCAACCTTCGTGAAGGTTTGGACAGCTGATGCTCATGATGCTCGCGCTGGGCGCCTGCTGTGGCCAACCTTCGTGAAGGTTTGGACAGCTGATGCTCATGATGCTCGCGCTGGGCGCCTGCTGTGGCCAACCTTCGTGAAGGTTTGGACAGCTGATGCTCATGATGCTCGCGCTGGGCGCCTGCTGCGGCCAACACTCGTGAAGGTTTGGACAGCTGATGCTCATGATGCTCGCGCTGGGCGCTGGCTGTGGCCAACCTTCGTGAAGGTTTGGACAGCTGATGCTCATGATGCTCGCGCTGGGCGCTGGCTGTGGCCAACCTTCGTGAAGGTTTGGACAGCTGATGCTCATGATGCTCGCGCTGGGCGCCTGCTGCGGCCAACACTCGTGAAGGTTTGGACAGCTGATGCTCATGATGCTCGCGCTGGGCGCTGGCTGTGGCCAACCTTCGTGAAGGTTTGGACAGCTGATGCTCATGATGCTCGCGCTGGGCGCCTGCTGCGGCCAACACTCGTGAAGGTTTGGACAGCTGATGCTCATGATGCTCGCGCTGGGCGCTGGTGGACAGCTGATGCTCATGATGCTCGCGCTGGGCGCCTGCTGCGGCCAACACTCGTGAAGGTTTGGACAGCTGATGCTCATGATGCTCGCGCTGGGCGCTGGCTGTGGCCAACCTTCGTGAAGGTTTGGACAGCTGATGCTCATGATGCTCGCGCTGGGCGCCTGCTGCGGCCAACACTCGTGAAGGTTTGGACAGCTGATTCTCATGATGTGAAGGTTTGGACAATTTGGACAGCTGATGCTCATGAAAGAACACGCCCAGCGTGAACCCAAACCCAGTCCGATCTTGCAAGTCGGCTCCAAAGCTTGTAAAAGCCATGGGTCTGGAGGCCTTCAGCTCCAGTCAGCCCGCGAAAGCCCTCAATCTCTCTGCCAGGCTGTGAGTGGATGGTGTGGGTGCAAAGCTGCGGATGGCCCCTTGCTTGCTGGGATAATTACAGGGCTTGGGGTGGAGCACCGCAAGGCTTGTCTCGAAACCAGTCAAAACAAGGCCTAAACTGGGTCGGCGTTCATGTTTTGTAGGCGTTTCAGTTTTCATTCGAGTAGCTGCAGCTGGGTAATGAGTATATTTAGTGGGAAGTGGGCAGGTGGGGTTGATTTTGTGTTTGCATCAGAAACAAACGTCTACTTGGACTCCTTGATCTTGTAAAGCATAATACTCATGGATTAGGACCTTACTTTCGGTTTGCTACTTCTTCCTGTGCGTGTGTTTTCTTCCTTTGCTTCTCGCATCCGTTCCCTAATGGTGCTTTGTCCTGATGCTTGTTGCAGACTTTGTCGCATTGCTGGTTTGCCTTCTTCTTTTCCTTGTCGGTGTTTGCCGTCATGAGTTTTGTTATGAGATTGTCTGCCGTCGTAAATTGTGCTATTTGCCTGTTTTCATACAGGTCGATTATGTTTCCCACCTTCTCCCTCGTTGATGTATTGAGTCGGTGTCTCTGGTTTCTTAAGCGGGTCTTTAACGCCTTAAAGACTTAAGATTATTCTGAATACTTTGTTTTTCATAAATATTTTGAATTGGATTATAGATTTTTGAGTTGTCCTAAAAACTTCCTTTTTCCTAAGTATACACTTAGAGAATCATTTTTACATATCTTATTGTAATGGACACAAGAAATATGTGTCCAGCTGCGTCCACTCGGGGTCCGTGCTTGTGTTTTGGGGTTTGGTGGCTGTGTTCGCTGGTGCCGTCCGGCTGTTGAGTTGTTTCAAGCTGCATCTACTTGGGGATCTGCGTTGTCTACAGGGCGTCTACTGCTACATGGTGGTTTGGCGTTGTTTGGCTTAGCGGCTATATAGCTGTGTGAAGCTGCATCTAGAGGGGGTTTTGGCGTCACTTTTGACTCTTTATTGTCCACAGTTGCAAAATGGTAGAATTCTCGCGCGTCCAGCCGCTTCCTCCGGACCCCACGTCCTGCGTCCCGCATCCAAGGAAGCCGAGTGTAACATCATGAGAAGCGCAGAGTCATGGTGGGTGTTCTGTTGCTGCTGCTTTTTGGTAGAAGCACGAAGATTTCTTTTGCCCCTACGAACTACAAACCATCCCTCGTTGGCCTGAGAGAGAGCCTTCCTCAGAGGGAGCCTTTTATTGGCCTCTCCTCTCTCTAGGCGAAGAGGCTCCGAGCGCGTCGCTTCGAGTCGCCCCCTGGCTGCGGCTCTGTTTGGGGATCTGCTTTGCTTTCGGGAGGGGGGGGCTTTTCAGCGCCATTGGGTGCGTTCCAGAGTTTTAGTGTCACAACTTTGGCACAGTGACCTCCATTCAATTGATCCATTAGAATGCCTGTCTGAGTGTGAGCGTGTCACTGCAGCGATCGGCGGTGGGTTGCTGCGGAGTATTCTTGGAGTCCACGCCCTGAGCCATTCCCGCAGAGAAGCGCTGGAGAATCCCAGCCCATGCTTTACGAATCTTAACAAGACATCCGCGAACGGCACCCCTCAAATAGCTTTGCTTTAGGAACTTTAGGGTAGGGATGTCGGCAGGTTGTTTTATTTTTTTTCTCTCTCTCTCTCTCTCTCTCGTTTTTCTCCTTGCCCCCTGCAGTACGGCATTGCTCAGTCGGCGGGTGCCCTTGAGGCCGACAGTTCCTCGAGGCTGTGGAGGCCAGCTGGTGCCTCTCAAGGGGGCTCAGGGTGGGATTTGGCCGAGCGTAGCTGGAGGCGGCGCTCCAGGGATAGCTGCCGAGCAATGACAGTGTGCAAGATAGTGCTGGCAAACTCGTGCTGTTCAGGACTTGCTACCCAGCTGGGGCGAGGTGGCCGAAAGGCCATTGAAGTTCGCTACTGGGGGCACATACAGCATCACTCCGGCTTTTGAATCTGAACCGTTTTGGCTTCCATCGCAAGACCGCCGATGCCTGGCACCTGCGTCCAACCCGCACCTTCAAAGCGTTTCGATTTCGGCGGCCCTTACTGAGGCCTAACCCCTGCAAAGCGTACCCAATGCTGAACTTCATATCTCCGACCAGGAAAGCAGTGCAGGCAGTGTCCAAGGCCAAGGTTCAGTTGCAGGCGATGGAGCAAGAGAGAGTTGTGCCGCTGCAGTGAATCGCCGTTGGAGTCTGCGATTGTTGCTTGAAGGGCCCGGTTTTAAGACTTGACACGTTTTTGGCGTAGCGGATGTTGCTTGGCAGGCTCCCAGGGGCAAACCCCTGAACTATCCAAACCAAGCAAATGCTATGCCGGCAAACCAACCTTTCTCAACCATGAAGCCATGGCCCGAAACATCAGGAAGCAAAGGCGGCACCAAAGGCCCACAGTCTGTTGTGCCATGGCGCATCGGGCCGTGCACCGCATCGACGTGGACCCCTCCGGCGCCCTTGTGCCTTGGTGCAGTTTGGAGCTTGGAGGCTTGGAGTGATTGTCTTGGGAAACTTGCTGGGCGTCTTTAGGTCTTGGATCTTGGGATTTCGTCCTTCGATAAGTCTTTCGAGAAGGTGAGGCACCCACTCCTCAACTCGGATCCCGGACTTCGCGATTCTTGAAGGCCCCAATCAAGAGCCACATCAGTTGATTGTTGACTATGTGCACTCTGCGCATCTCTCCATGCCAAAGCTTACCGAAATTCATTTACCCTGCACCTGCATTTCGAGGAATTGTTCAAGGTCAGAGGCAGCTGGAAGTGGGCTAAGTGGAGGCTCAGCTGGCTTAGCCTGCTAAGGTCTTGTGCTATGATGCCGAGGGCATCGCGGACAGGCAGAGCACAGCGGCTTGGTTCCACGGAGAATGTAGGGATCTGGGAGGCTTCGGCAGTGCCGTAAAACAAAAGGCAAGCCCTGAGTGCGAGTGCCGACCTTAGACGGCAAGGTTATAGTCTTATAGTGTACCAGTGTACCCCTCCTCTTCAAAAGCTTGGGAAGTGGCCTTAAGGTCATAGAGCCTAGCGCCAAAGAACCACAAGAATGCCACCAAGTAAGAGCCCCCCCCCCGAGCCGCCGCCTCTTTAATGTCCCTGTCCTTGTAAACACGAAGGCAAGGGCTCCCCCCCTACCGAGGTGATCAAGGTCCCCGTTGCCGAGCTCCATGGCCAGAACCTGGAAGCCTTGGCAAACACCGCAACCCGGCCGCTGTTTTGGGGGGCATGGATGGGGAATGATGGGGATGCTGCAAGAAGTATTCGCAGACTGCCGGAGTGCCTCTCCCAAAAACATCCATCCCGGAGTGCCCAATCTTAGATCCCATCAAAGTGATACATTTCACGGTTGGGACGTTCATTTTTGTTCTTGTTTTGGTTGGGTGGCTCCTTTCCTTGCCCCAACCCAGGTGCTCCTCCGTGTCCCAGACGGTTTGCATGTCTCTGTGGATGCTCTGTGCATGGCACTCGGTGAGCTTCGTGCGGCCACTTGGAAGCACTCCATGTCCCCCTGGAGCCCTCCCCAGAACCACACGACAAACCGTGCGATCCTGGATCGGCGGCGTGGCACAGCACGTATGCGTCATTTTCAGGAGCCACAGTCATGAGCATGACGGCATGATGGCGCAGGGTGGAATCAGTCTAGCTCGTAGGGCATCACCCAGCCAGGTAGTTCTTGGGGGCATCTCATCTCCTTGTAGTACTTAGATGTTTTTAGGCTTGCTTGCCCTACAGGTGCCAGAATTATGTTTGTGAAGGGCTCGCATTCCTTTTGGTCAGTGCTGGCTCGTGCCAGTTCACCCCTTGCATTGGCGGCGGGCACAGCATAGTCATAGGCCGATGATCCTTAACTGCACAGCTTTTGGGTTGGGATGCTCGAAGTGAGCATTTTCGGAGGCCGGTGGCCAGACCTCAAGGCCTCTGATTCTGTTAGATTGTGGCGTGGGTGTCATTGTCACTTCCTGATCACCATCGCTTTTCACGGAACACAGCCCGTTGCGTCACGAGCTCCGTCAACGCAATTTCCCCTCGCAAAACTTTGCAAACAAAACCTGCCTGCCTTGACCAGAATGCGAGGCCTGTGCCGGGGAGGCGGGGGAGGCCGCGCCTGTGACGTCGCCAGCAGACTCGGCAGCACCGCCACCAAGGGCTGAAGCAGCTGCAGTGGCCGAAGCCCCGCCGTCTGACGAAGGCCCGGGCTGATCGGATTGGGGGGGGGGGGGAGGGTGGGCATGACATGGCGAGACGTGGCAATTGAGCAGGTCTGTGGGTTCATAGCTTGCGTATGCTATCAGCATCTTTAGGTTAGATTGCTTGCTGTTTTTTGCTCGGCTGGCCTGCGCAGGTTCCAATGCTCTCTGGGTCCGCGCCATGGATGGCACGTGCCACGGACGCGAGGGGGATGCTTTGAAGCTCCTAATGCCTTGTGGTAACTTTGCGGACAGACCCTCATTAGCGCCAAGGCGCTATGGGCCCTTCAATGTTGTGGCATTGCGGTCGGCTCGGAAGCTGAAGCGCCTGTGCAAGTGCTAAGGCTTCTAAGGCCCTCAACTACCTTCAAATCTGAAGCCCGAAAGACCTCTCCCGGCACCTGCCAGCCCTCTGCAGTAGTGCCGGGCAAAAACGTAAAAAGGTGTTCGGATGCGTAGAGGCGTAGAGTGCTTGAAGGTTTTCCTCCGCGCCCCGCCTGTATTTCAGCCTTGTGAACGCCTGTGGCTCTCCTGTGCACCTGGCGGCGTGCCCAGTCCATAGCCCCTGTGCTTTCCGAGAGAGTCCCTGAGCCCCAGGCTCCAGCTTGCGGAGCGCCTGCAGATTTCCCCCATGGGAATCGCATTGCTGGATTCTGCGCGGCCTGTGCCCGATGCCGCCTGGATTACGCATGTGTAGTGCCCAACAGTCTCAGGCTTCGGAGTGTGCTTTCTTGCGATTGTAGATAGCTGCTTCGAAGTGCTGGGCTGCCCCACTCAGTGCCCCCACTCACCTCGGACCTCAACGCACTCGGCCCAAGGAGGCAGATCTCCAAGCGCTGGGCGCCTCGCCTGAGCACAGGGGGGGCTCAGTACGCACTGCTTGCACGTTCCGAGCTCTTCATGCCTTCAATTTCGTAAAACCTGGATCGAAGTCACTTGGCGGGCACATGGGGCCGACAAAAGGGGGCACCTGTACAGGTTGCGAAGATCCTGTGTGCTTTCCTGGGCCAGAACTTTGTGCCCAGCAACAAAAACAAACTCCGTTGCCCATCGCCTGTTGACAAAAACCTTCAAAGCACGCAAGTACCTGTCGCCCTATGCGCCCGCGCGACCGCTGTGTCCAATCTGAATGACCCCAAGCTCCAAAAACCCGATCTGGATGTTCCAGCATGTAGTTTGTTATTTGAAGCATGTTTCGCACGGCCGGGGCCATGGAGTGGTCCTGAATCTTCGTTGGGAGACCCTGTGTCCTGAACCTACAGACGCCAAAGCAACAACTTCGACCCTAAGCCAACCGCGAACATCGGGCCGGGGGAGTTCTGTTAGGAACTTCCTGTTTACTTTGGAGTGGAGGCTTTGGGGCTGGAATTAAGAGCTTTTCCTGAACCTTGAACCTGACCCTAAGCCCTGCACCCCTGTCCAGTCAAGATGCCTGTAGTGGTACAATGATTGCCAAGTGGCTTAAGCGATTGCTTGTGTCGGACGCTTTTCCGGATCAGGGCTGAACCCCAAATCTGACACCGGGCGCCTGACTTTTGAAGACTGGTAACTAGTGCCGAGGCTCGACGGAGCTGCAGCTCTTGCGGCTGAGCCCTGGGTCTGAATTATGTGTTGTTTGGGCAGACTAGACTAAAGCTCGATGCGGCTGCATCGAAGACCTCAAGCTTAATCGCCAAAAGGCGTGAGTGGCAAAATTCGTGACCCCCAAATTGATGTAGCACTGCTGCGAGCACCCTAGGCACTCGCCCAGCCATTGTGGTGGCTCGGGTGAGGCTCCTCCGGTAGAATGCCAGGAAGCAGTTGAGCCCTTGCTGTTCACATTTCTTGTTCAGCCGAGCACGCGCATTGCTGCCGATTGATTGCTGCCATGATGCTCCAACACGGCCGTTGCTGCTACTTGCCCCATCCTGTTCCGTTGTCGTCGTGCCCCGAAACCATACGAACCCATAGCACATTTGTGAGAGACGGAAAGGCCGATGAACCGGCGGGAGCTGCAGGCAGACGAGACTGTGGCTGTGGCGGTTGTTGACGAGGCACATTCAGCTGGCTTGCGAGTTCGGAAACTGCCAGTGTTCAGTGGGTCATGCTGGCGCATGTTTGTAAGGTCCTTTTGTAAATCTTCTGGCCTCGCGGTCTTCTTAGCAGCCTTAGCAGGTGGCGACTTCTTCATGGGGCACTCTGCGTTTCAACCCTAAAATGGGGACACACAAGAAACTGTTCAAGTCCTATCAAGTGTTGTTTCTTAGGGTTTGTTTTTGGGTTCGGATATTGTGCCGGAGGCTGGCCTTCGAAGTCCCGTAACCAAGACTCATGTTCCCAGCCTTTTAAACGAAAACCCAAGCGAAGAGCAACGACTCATCGAGTTCTTGAAGTCAAAGTTTTAGAGGTGAGTGAGCTCAAGCAATACGGTTGTGAACGGAATCGGGGCTTCGAGGGTGGTTGCTCTGCTCCGACCGATATTCCGTTGGTTCTTCAACAAACACAGATCTGGGTGGCTGTTCCCGGATGTTAGATTTGCCCCGTTTCGAAGTTCAAAAGGCTTACGGTCCACGGTTGCATTCTCAAAAATATCCGTCTTCAACCTTAACTTAAATTGCAACTGTCAAAACAAGCTACGTCGCTACGTGCACAGGAGCCCGGTCGGCAGGCACCGCTTCGCGTGACAGATGCCAAAGGCAAAGAGCAGCCTTGCCTCAATGTGAACCATTTCTTATCCCCCCAAAGGATGCCCTGAACTTGTTGAACCCCACCCAGCTTCCTGACAGAAGATGCGGACTTTATATACCTCTTGGTTGCCCCCGCACTATGCGAAGCCGACTACTGATTGGCTGAGATGGCAGCATGCTGTAACTCATGAGTGCCACTGGGGGTTGAGTCTCTTCGTGCTGCCGCGTTCGGATTCTTGGGCAGTGGTGTGGCTGGATGTCACGGACGGCTGGCAAAGTCTGACATTTGCACGGCATGAGGACCTTTACTTTACTCCGTTTTGCACTTCGTCATTTGTCATCTCAGATATGTGGACACCTGGCTGTCTTTCCAAGTACTCTTCGCGCATACTGCTTTTGAGATCTTTGAGCATACCCTCTATGATGTCACTGTCAAGCTATACAAAGCATTCCAGAGAGTAGTGTCCTATCAAGTTGTGCCTGAAACTTGGTGCCGTGAAGTGGCGACTCTCGCCCTGCAGTCATAGGCACTGTGGTGTGGGGGCGGGCTGGGCACAAAGGGCAGCAGTCGAGTCCCTTGTGGAAAAATATACCTCTGCCAATGATTCGATCCCTTTTGCTGTCTTGGAGTGAAGGCTACGGAGCTAAAGGTTGGCAAACGTATACGTAAATACAGTCACGAAGCTGGCTCCTTGGAGCTAGCGGGGGTTTTTGCTTCCAACCTCTTGGTCTTGGAGCAAAAACAACTTGGGGGGGGACTTTTTGCCTGATAGCTCAGGGAGGTAAGAACAGGGGCGGGATCTTGCTGTCTAGAGTCGGGATGGTCGGGTCCCAGAGGTTTGGGTTTTGAATGGCCTTATGACCTGTTCGTTGTGCTGCGCAGAGCGAAGACACGCACAGCGGCATGTTGGAGATGGGGCAACTGTGGCAAGCAGCTCTTTCAGGGCTTCTGCTCACAGATTTCCGGGCTGGGGATCGGTGTGTCGGGAAGGTTTGGCAGCCCGGAGTCCAGGCACCTCTTCACGTTCGACTACACCTTCCCCCCAAGCACCCTGCAGAAGGAGGTTTGCCAGGCTCTCCGCTGAATTTTCCAGGTTCCGTGCTGGTTCTCAGCCAGATACTGTGCTCCCATGTGGCTTGCATTTCCTGGACGCCTGTGTTTTCGAGCTGGGTGGTGAAGACCTCCGCGTACTATGCATAGCGTACTAGAGTGCATGACATTTGTGGCGAACAGCTGCAGCGTTTAATTCTTGAAGTTCCGCGGCGCAAGCACCAGAGCGCCCTCGCTGAAAGCCTTGAGAAGCGCTCTCACAAGCCAGTTCCTAAAAAAAAGAATCAGCATCATGCTTCTTCCTGCTAGGCCGTCGCCCCCGCGGTCGAGGATGCCTTGGAAGGCCCAAGGATGGTTTCTAGCACTCTCTGTTAGCGCTACCCGCGGCCCTGGAAAACTGGGACTCAATCAGGCGTTTCCCCTCGGTCGCGCGCCCTCCTTCGCCACACCCAAGACTTAAATTTCGAAGCAATCAGAGCCTGACTCAAAACGAACCCCAAAACACAAGCTCGACAACTGCAAACAAACCTGAAGAAAAAGCGCCCAAATACTCCGGCTACGGTTGCCGCCGACATGCCACGGAATTTAAGAGCGCGACGGCTTAAGAATCGCGGAGTCATAAAGCCAACTCCACGTCGTGCCAGGCATGCTCCCTGAAGAAAGCCTGCTCCCCAAACACACAGCATTCGTTGAAGGCATCAGCTCAACATTTGTGACCTATGGTGCCCGTGGCGCAGGCACCTGCGACACTCGAAGACCTGTTGTAGAGCTGCCAAGGTTTTCTGGTCAGAAGCTGAAACCCTCCTTTCTCATTCCGTTCACGGGGGGCTTGGATTGCTTAGACTGCCTTTCAGCCTGCCAACTCCCCTTCCCTCGCCCCCTCCCAGCCCGGTGGCAGGCAAAAGCTTCACCCTACGGGGTTCTCTCCAGCTTTCGGGGGAGCCTGGACCGGGGTGGATTCTGGATTTCAGCCTGCGGACACAGTTTCAGGAGCTCTGGGTTCAGGATGTTGGGCAAGTTGAGTTGGCGGGGGACACTTTCATATTCAAGTTAGCTGCTAGCAGGAGGAACAAGCAGGCTTCGAGTGCTGGGCGGCTGGTTTCGAAAAGCAATGCAGAGACTGTGCAAAATCACAAGTTCGCATGAAGCAGCATTCAACATGGCCTGGAGAAGGCAATAAAACGCGCTTGTTGTGCGAGAGCTTCAAACTCAACGATGTTCGGAGTTATTAGGGCTTGGAGGTGTTCCCTAGATCATTGCAGGGTCCTTGGCTCGGAGCCAATATCTTTCTCCTCAGGCTTTTTGAAATGCACGGGTTAGGCTTTTAAAACGAGGCCGAGGGGCTCAGCAAACTTGCAAGAGAAGCATTCGTGGACCAACTTTGCTAATCAACGCCAAGGTGACCGCCTTTTGGCCAAGCTGCAGGAGGGCGCTTCTCCTTACTTGGTCGGCGCACGGCGCCCAGAGAGGGTGGGGGCTCCGGGGTACACATCACACATTGTGGCCCAAGGAGGCACCAGACTGTTGTGTTCCGTGCATCTGTTGCGTAACCTTACTGATGAAACAGATGAAGATGAGGTTAGCCCAGGCTCCTGCGAATCGGCTGGAAGGCTTCAGTCCGAGCATTGAAACGGCGACAAGCACATTCCAGACCAAAACGCCCCAACACCACCCGGGGGCTTTAGGATGCACTCGTGCTCGGAGCATCCCTCGATCTCTGTGGGGTGCGAGCAAATACGGGCAGAGCCTGAATAACAGTGAAGTTCCGTGCATCTGAGTAGATGCAGAGGTGTCCATGCTGAGCGCATATCACGAGGACTGAGGGGGCCGGGCCAGTGGGGAGGGAATTCTTGTCAAGTATCGGGATTCGGGGGTGCAAGTGCAGGCAAGTACAGGAAAGAGGTGCCTGGCGGGCTTGGGCTTTCCCTCAAGTCGTGGCGATCAGGAAATAGCTTAGAGTCTTTAGAGCCATCTATAGAGCCAATAAGGCGTATAAGGAGTATAAATATCCGAAAGCCCTACAACCACCTCAATCCTTTCCTCGGCCTAGAAACCCTTGAAGCCCGTGAAACTCCACGAAGCCTGGAGAAGGAGTTGACGGATTTGCTCGTGGCGGGCCGCGAAAAGCTGCGAGTCCGCCGGGGCGCCGACGGGGTGGAAGTTCCAGGCGCCTTCTGGATTCCGGCCAAATAAAGAAATAGGGTTTAGGGTTTAGGGATTAGGGATTTTGAGATTGAGAGGGTTCAGGGTGTGGGGGGAGGGGGGCGCAATTTGAAGTCGGTTGTGTGCTGCTTCTCATTAGGCTGAAAGCCCACAGTCCAAGTGGATGAAGTTATCTCAGGTGAGCTGAATTATCTTTGTGTTGGGTGGTTGGGTGCATCTCGTGGCTGAGCTGGGTGAAGTTTGTCTACTCAAGCCCGTCCCCTGCAGAGTTCAAGGCTGAAAAATGGAAGAGAGAGAGAGAGAGAACCCAACCAAGCTTGAAGCGCGCTCGACGCAGACCTTTCTTGGCACGTCGCTGAGTCGACAGAGGAGATTTTAGAGCTTCTTCAAGCAGGCCCCGATGTGTTCAGAGTTTTTGGGTGCAGACTTTCTTAGGGTCCCTTTGTGATCATAGGTTAACAACAGGTTTGGTTAGGGATTGAACATGGAGGGCAGGACTTCATTCAAGGTGGATGCGGTTGGTTTGCCATCCTGAATGACCAGTTTGACCTCAAAGGTCTGTTTGCCATTGCAGACCCGAAGTTTCTGTGCAGCAACGTATAGAATAGAATAGTATGGAAGCCTAACGCAGATGCACCCGACTATCCATGGAATGCTGTTGAATGCACACAGGTCTCAATTCCATCCAGGCCCCGCTCCATGTTCTTCGGTTTCGTTGGCAACAGTTGCAGACGAAACCCAAAGCTAAATCAACCCTCCCTAAATCTGAAGGTTTGGACGTGCATCACGGGGGGGGGGACAGGGTTTGATCCTGCAGATCCACGATTCCCTCTCCAAATCCACGGGGTGGTGCTCCACACCTTAGACTCAGACATCTGCTGCACCCTCGGCGTTGAACTCTGGCATTTGTAGTCGGAGACGCTCGAAGACCTTCAACGGTCAAGCCTAGGGCAACAAGCCCTCTGCCCTATGTGCGCCCTGCTTGTGAAACCCTAAAGAGAGCTCCCTAAAGAAGGTGGCATGCACAAACATGGAGATCGAAAGCGGTGAGGCCTGGGCTGCAGGGGTTAGAGGTTATTCCTTGTCTGAGTTGCGGGTTCAGGGCTATTTGCAGGGTTGGGGTAAGACAGGCCCTGGCCCGCCTTCAATTGGCATCCTGTTGTTCATGAGGGCAGACCGCAGCAACAAGCGAGCCCTCTAGGCGGCAGCTTTTGTGCACTGCCAGGTGACTTCCATCTTCCAACTTCACATCTCGCGTTGGGCAGGCATGCAGCAGCCTTTAAGCCCCCCCAAATCGGCTGTGGAGTGTACAGTGTCGAGCTTGGGGGCAGAGTCTTATGGAGTGTCGGGTGAGTGGGCTGGCTCCTTTCAATTCCAGGGGCAGGAAGGAAGTAGTGTGGAATCGTGCTCACTGTGGTTGAGCCGAGTAGGCTGTTATCAGGCTTTCTGTCTGCTGTGCTCAATTCATCATACCCGCTGCAGGGCCATCTCGACCGACACGAGGGCCCATCTTCGAGCTACGTGGGGTCCAAGCTAGAAAAGCCCATGAATTTTGCCTCTTAAAGGAGGTTGCTGCACAACAACATCCCCCAAATCCTCAAATACTGACATTGAGCTGCAGCTGGCGATTCTGGAGGCGAGCAAGTCGCGTCTGCCACGATCCGTTTCGTGGACTCGGCGAACTCGGACCGGCCGACGAACCCTGCGCGGAGGATTGGGTTTGGGGGAGGGGGGTGTTATTGGCTTAGGGCGCTTTCTAGTCCAAAGGTCTGCGACGTTCGGAAGCTGCTTGCTTTCGTCATGGACCTTTTGGGCATTAGCATGCCGATCTTTCGTAGTGTTATGCCGCCATGCTTTCTGCAGGTAGTGTCGTGTGCTACTAACAACAGAATTTTGAGTCAAAGGCCTTTACTGTGTGAGAGTACAGTGCTGCGGTTGGCTTTCGTGCTCTTTCTGTTTGGGCCTCTCGGCGCTAGATCCGCTAGATAGGAGTCGCATAGTCTGGGGAGCAATCTTTCCAGCATAGCCAAGGATTAAGGACCGCCAGACACTGGCTCCCAGTGTGGAGACCCACACCCTGAGAGCCTCACCGGATGCCCAAAGGCAGGCCAGGCATTTCGGGTAAGTTATGGTCAATTCGCCGTCTGCCAGGAGCAAATACCTGGAAGCCCTGCGAGAAGTGGTGGACGCCTGTGGAAGGCTTGGCTTGGGTTGGTCGGATTGTCGGGAGTTGAGGGCGTTTAGGATTTAGGCGCACTCTTTTTTGGGTTCAGGGTATAGCGGGTTGGCCCGGGACAGTTTCGGCAGGTTGCTGTGACTTCTGTCGCGACAGAACGTTTTAGTTTGCAGGGTTGGCCCCAGATAACAGCCCCAGCGCCGTCCAAGTGAGAGTCAAGTGCTTGGCCAGCTTTTCCTTTCACAAGGGGTTGCCGTAGAAAAGGCACTGCGTTGTCTGCCCGCCCCGCTGGTGCAACTGGGCTCAGACTTTGCAGCGCACACTCGACGACGACCTAAGCAAAATGTCATGTTTTAACGCCGAAATCCTGAAGCTCTTCTGCGCGATGGCCCAAAAGCCTCGTGCACCCTGCCACCCCTGTGACTCGCGGTTCGGCTCATGTCTTCAGAGCCTTTTTGCTGCGGATCGCCTGGAAACAAACATGAAAAGACGCGAATACAGAACGAGATGGTCGCGTCTAGAGCATGTGAAGCAAAGACGCGCCCTGACGCCACGGACGCCGCCCAAAGAGCTTGCCCGTCCCTTGCACTTGGATCGGCTCCCTTTATAAAGTTCTCAAAGCACTCCATTGGGTTCAGAAAGGCAGCGCCGAACACCCTCACGCTGACAGGCCAACTGGGTTTATCCCCTACCGCTTCTCGAAGCTGACGACGCCTGGCCTGAGAGAGTTGGTGCATGGTCCGGAGAGGTCCAGATTTTGTCGGGTGTATGTCGGGGTATGGTGTTCAAATGTTTTCAGGGATGTAAGCCCTTCTATCATGGGAGCCAAATGGGAGCCCTGGACCATGTGACCCAAAATCCTCGACCCTTTCGTTTTCTGTGTGAGACTTGTGAGCCTGGCATCCTCGGGTGACATTGTGAATTGGAAGTCGTCAGCATTCAGCCCGAGACATCCCCAACAGCCTCAAAAACAGAAACCCTACTAATGAAAGCGCGAAGGTCCCAATGCTGTATGACCCGGGTTTTTCCCCGGCCGTGAGATCCCAAGCCTAAGGCAGCTGCTGCAGCCGGCCCTGTGCGGGCCTACACCTCTGGTGCCGCAGCTGTTTCAGCTGTTTCAGCTTTTCAGGGCTCAGGGTTTAGGGTTTAGGGTTGTCCATTCCTTCTAGACGATTCAAGTTCCAAGTCTTTGTTCTTCGAGACTTTTGGCTCGAGCATGCTCGAGCGGCCTGATGAGACACGCAGGATCACGCAGGTCTGCTTGAATTCAATCTCTTAGGATCATCGGGAGACCAAGCCTCCGATAACCCGGTTTATTTGGAGCGCAAGCGTCTATCCTTGGGGGCGAGCAGCTCAAGAAGCTCGAGCTCCGAAAACCCCATGGATGAGGTCAGGGCAGCGAGCCGGGTCCATCAAGTAGTCAAATTTGACTCTGTGGACGTGACCTCAGATAAATGGATCACCCACGATCTTCCGTCTCTTGCAGAACAAACGATGTTCTGCTTCAGGTAGGGGAGTTGCTGCTTGCCTTGGACGTCCAAGGTCTGGTTGCGACAAATTTCCCCAACGATCCCGAGACATCAATGGCACGAGAGGGTCAAAGTCTTTGCCCCTCCATTACCTCATTCTCGGGTAACCCTGGAGTGGGAGGCTATTTTTATTAAAATGACCAAGACGTCATCAACAATTGACTTTGCCGAGTTGTGTAAACAGCTGAAATCGACACCGTATGCAAAGCGCCCCATTTCTTGGCAGAGCGTTCTTGGCCTTGAATGGCTAAAATCTCCCATTGCAAAGCAAGGGTCAGTCGAGGGTTTACTTGTAGATGCCGCCAAATGAAGAAAGTCCGTTTTATGGTCAAGTGAGGAGGCTCCTCACAAGCCCAATGATTACGCCACATGTGTGGCAACGAACGACTTTCCTCAGGCAGGATCGTTTGACCTCGACTTCACTGAAACGTATCTGCTTGTGCGGCGCATGATGCAAGAAGACAGGAGCATCAATCGAATGCCAGATCACTTGCACATTGGCGCCACAACATCTTTGGTTCAGGATTTGCCACTGCTTCAGCCGATGCAGCGGTTCAGAAGTACCTATCAGGTGGCTTTCTCAGAGCGCAGCCGGAGTTCCTTTCAGCCAAGGAATGGCGTGATGGACCTTGCAGCGAGTCTGCGCAAATGTCGACGAAGTCTTTCAGGCCAGGCCGAAGACTCCGGGGCAGTCAACACTGATGCGAGGACTCAGGTAGAGGTCCAGAGCTCTATGGCCGGATGGCAATTGCCCATAAACCCAGGGATGGAAGGCCTCAATCCCAAGTGGGTATTGTCAATGGAGCACTTGTCCACTATCAGCACCGTGCGCAACAAGGTTTATGTGCTGTCAAGAGGTGTTGGGAGGATTTATTTCTCCCCTACACCAGAAGTGCGCATCTTGATTCTGATTGCTGAGGTTTTTCAACCGGTGCGGCGCTGGAGCGTATGCCCATACGGAATCCGTGATATGCGGGCCTATCTCTGCTTGCGTATCGAACGCAGCAGCTCTTTGACATCCTCCTTAACTTCGATCCTCAATGCTTCTGATGCTCATCGTCTACTTCCGGAAGTAGCGCAGGCGCAAGCGCTAGCCGAGCTTGGTCTCAAGCTGCGTGAGGGCAAGTTGCAAGCGATGACCTCCCCGTCGGTTTTCGATGCTGTCGTTGGTAGCCTTTCTTCGGATTCCACGCTAGCCAGTTTTACTTGGGACACCTCCATCGTATATCTCAAACGCAGGCTCAGTCACCACAACAGTGCAGCAGATACCACCAACCTTTTGCTTCGACAGTGCCATGTCACAGCGTGTGGCAGTCCCTTCAGTCGATTGTGTGCAGAATTGGGTGGTGCAACATTGAAACATTGTTCTGGTTTTGCAGGTCATGCAAAGGTATACTGCTTCTACTTGGTTGTGGTTGTTGGTGTTGGCCCCTTTGCTCTACTCTACCCCCTAGCGCAGTACATACGGCAGGTTGACGTCTGGCAATGCACTTATACACTCAATGCACTCAACCTCTACATCCCAGATGCTGCTGCACAATCATTGGCGTTCGCTTTGCTTCGATTGCGCCGTCGTGCGGCGCAGTCAGTTGTCTTGACTGACAGCAGATGGCGGTGGGCTGACTCCTGGCTCATGCGCAAGTGGAACTGTTTTGGGCATGTTCTTCGAATGCATGCTTCGCACCCTGCGCGTTTGTCCTTCTTTCGCTGTCAGGGCGAACAGCAGCAAGGAGCTCCATGGTCCTCTAGTCTTCGGTGGGTTAAGGTCATGGTCCAACGGTTGGTTGGTGAATCGAGTCTTCCTACTGATGAGGCTCTTGCTGTGAGGGCTGACTGACAGAGCGTGGTGGGCTACAAAGGCTCTCCAGGTCTTTGAGTGGTAATTATGCTTACTGTCCCAAGATCGTCCTCGCAAGCTCTACAGTCTTTGTCCTTCATGGTTACAGTTGGTTTATGTGCAGCCTCTCCCTGAGGGATTTTGTCTACACTGGTTGTCTGTCGAAGAGGGCTGGCTGAATCTCGCTGTGGTTGAGGGTTCGGATGCCTGTAATTCCTGGGCTACTACACACTACACTTCAGTACATCTGCGTGCTTTCTGCTCCCCTGGTCATACAACTGCATTTGGGCGAAGAGCTGGCGGACAGCTTGCTCTTGTTCTTGCATCACTTGGCTTGTCGTATGTGGCAGCAGTTTCAAAGCATTTTACTCTTCGATGTCTTGACGTCCTTGCAGATTTCTTTCCTTGATTCACGTGTGCTTCCTCATGGTGATATGGGTGCATAGAACAGTTTGCGTGATGTTTTGCGTGCTGTTTTCTGCCGGCAAACCAGCCTCCGTTGCTCAAAAGGGTTTAGGGTTATGGTTTAGGGTTTACGGTTTAGGGTTTAGGGTTTCGGGGTTTCACCAGTGCTGAGTATCCGTGTGCTCACACTTTCAGGCGATTGCACAAGTCCTGATGCAAAAAGGGGTTTCAGCTGTTCAGATTCGCAAATTGCTCGGCTTAGGGTCGGAGAGCGCGGCATGCTCGGAGCTACTATGCTGTTCGCAGATGTTGTCGCCCAAAATGCGAGGTGCTGCTTGCTGCCTGCAGCCCTGCCCAGTCTGATGTGGACTGCCACGAAGGGTGAGAGAGAGCCACCGCGTTAAGGACGTTAGCGTAACAGCTTTGCGGCTGTCGCGCTCCTTCCAATGCGCCCTTTGTTTTGTGCTTTTTTGTGCTAGCAGAAGACCCGACCCCAGGTTTTGAGGTTCAACGGTATCTGGTTCTCTGTGGGGTCTCTTGCTTTGCGACCGGCTTTCTAAACTACATGACATGGCTGTTGAAATCAGTGCAGCGAAAACATGGCGAATAAGAACGCTGCAACATAGAAGCACGGCCAGACCATGGGGCTTTTCGGAATATCCCATTTTTCCATTGCCTTTTCCAGGACGAGACGCTGCGCACCCTTCAGTTCGCTAGCAAGGTGCAAAAGGCCCGCAGCGATCCCAGCTGTGGTTACAAGGTCCAAGAGCAGGGCATGAGCTTTCTGGGGTTGACGGTGTGGATGGAAGAGGGGGCAGGGCTTTGTTTTGGCCAATCCTTCAGTAGATTTTTGGTCACTCCTGCTTCTCGCCTCCTCGGTGTCCCGCAAGCAGCCCGCACCAGCTTAAGAGCAGTCGTTGGGGTTTGGGGGGTCTGAGAACTTACTTATGGGCGTGCGAGCTGGCAACCCTCACTTAAGAGCTGTTGTTGGGGCGGGGGGGTCGAAGAACTTACTGATGGGTGTTCGGGCTGGCAGCCCGCACCAGCTTAAGAGCTGTCGTTGGGGCTTGGGGGTCTGAGAACTTACTGGTGGGCGTGCGGGCTGGCAGCCTGCACCAGCTTAAGAGCTGTCGTTGGGGCTTGGGAACTTACTGATGGGCGTGCGGGCTGGCAACCCACACCAGCTTAAGAGGTGTCGTTGGGGCTTGGGGGGTTTAAGAACTTACTGATGGGTATGCGGGCGGGCAGCCCGCACCAGCTTAAGAGCTGTCGTTGGGGCTTGGGGGTCTGAGAACTTACTGGTGGGCGTGCGGGCTGGCAGCCCTCACTTAAGAGCTGTTGTTGGGGCGGGGGGTCGAAGAACTTACTGATGGTTGTTCGGGCTGGCAGCCCGCACCAGCTTAAGAGCTGTCGTTGGGGCTTGGGGGTCTGAGAACTTACTGGTGGGCGTGCGGGCTGGCAACCCACACCAGCTTAAGAGCTGTCGATGGGGCTGCCTGGGGAGTCTAAAAACTTGGGCTTGCGGGGTGGCAACCCGCACCAGCTCTTAAGCGGCTGACTTGCTGATGGGTGTGCTGGCTGGCAGCCCGCACCAGCTTAAGAGCTGTCGTTGGGGCTTGGGGGTCTGAGAACTTACTGGTGGGCGTGCGGGCTGGCAGCCCGCACCAGCTTAAGAGCTGTCGTTGGGGCTTGGGAACTTACTGATGGATACTGATGGGTGTGCGGGCTGGCAACCCACACCAGCTTAAGAGCAGTCGTTGGGGCTTGGGGGGTCTGAGAACTTTCTGATGGGCGTGCGGGCTGGCAACCCGCACCAACTTAAGAGGTGTCGTTGGTGCTTGGGTGGTCTAAGAACTTACTGATGGGTGTGCGGGCGGGCAACCCGCACCAACTTAAGAGCTGTCGTCCTGGGGGGTCTGAGAACTTACTGATGCGTGTGCGGGCTGGCAACCCGCACCAGCTTGAAAGGTGTCGTTGGGGCTTGGGGGGTCTGGGAACTTGCTGATGGGCGTGCGGGCTGGCAGCCCGCACCAGTTTAAGAGCTGTCGATGGGCGTGGGGGTTGGCAGCCCGCACCAGCTTAAGAGCTGTCGTTGAGACTTCGGGGGTTTGAGAACTTACTGGTGGGTGTGCGGGCTGGCAGCCCGCACGCACCAGCTTAAGAGCTGACGTTGGGGCTTGGGGGGTCTGAGAACTTACTGGTGGGTGTGCGGACTGGCAGCCCGCACCAGCTTAAGAGCTGTCGTTGGGGGCTTGGGGCTGAGAACTTACTGGTGGGCGTGCGGGCTGGCAGCCCGCACCAGCTTGAGAGCTGTCGTTGGGGCTTGGGGCGGAGAACTTACTGGTGGGCGTGCGGGCTGGCAGCCCGCACCAGCTTAAGAGCTGTGGTTGGGGCTTGGGGGGTCTGAGAACTTGCTGGTGGGCGTGTGGGCTGGCAGCCTGCACCAGCTGAAGAGTTGTCGTTGGGGCTTGGGGCGGAGAACTTACTGGTGGGCGTGCGGGCTGGCAGCCCGCACCAGCTTAAGAACTGTGGTTGGGGCTTGGGGTCTGAGAACTTGCTGGTGGGCGTGCGGGCTGGCAGCTCGCACCAGCTTGCTGTCGTTGGGGCTTGGGGCTGAGAACTTACTGGTGGGCGTGCGGGCTGGCAGCCCGCACCAGCTTAAGAGCTGTGGTTGGGGCTTGGGGGGTCTGAGAACTTGCTGGTGGGCGTGCGGGCTGGCAGCCCGCACCAGCTTAAGAGCTGTCGTTGGGACTTGGGGCTGAGAACTTACTGGTGGGTGTGCGGGCTGGCAGCCCGCACCAGCTTAAGAACTGTGGTTGGGGCTTGGGGGGTCTGAGAACTTGCTGGTGGGCGTGCGGGCTGGCAGCCGCACCAGCTTAAGAGCTGTCGTCCGGGCTTGGGGCTGAGAACTTACTGGTGGGCGTGCGGGCTGGCAGCCCGCACCAGGCTTAAGAGCTGTGGTTGGGGTTTGGGGGGTCTGAGAACTTGCTGGTGGGCGTGCGGGCTGGCAGCCCGCACCAGCTTAAGAACTGTCGTTGCGGCTTGGGGCTGAGAACTTACTGGTGGGCGTGCGGGCTGGCAGCACGCACCAGTGGTTGGGGCTTGGGGGGTCTGAGAACTTGCTGGTGGGCGTGCGGGCTGGCAGCCCGCACCAGCTTAAGAGCTGTGGTTGGGGCTTGGGGGGTTTGAGAACTTGCTGGTGGGCGTGCGGGCTGGCAGCCCGCACCAGCTTAAGAGCTGTCGTTGGGGCTTGGGGGGTCTGAGAACTTACTGGTGGGTGTGCGGCCTGGCAGCCCGCACCAGCTTAAGAGCTGTGGTTGGGGCTTGGGGGGTCTGAGAACTTGCTGGTGGGCGTGCGGGCTGGCAGCCCGCACCAGCTTAAGAGCTGTGGTTGGGGCTTGGTGGGTCTGAGAACTTGCTGGTGGGCCCAAGAGCTGTCGTTGGGGCTTGGGGGGTCTGAGAACTTACTGGTGGGTGTGCGGGCTGGCAGCCCGCACCAGCTTAAGAGCTGTGGTTGGGGCTTGGGGGGTCTGAGAACTTGCTGGTGGGCGTGTGGGCTGGCAGCCTGCACCAGCTGAAGAGTTGTCGTTGGGGCTTGGGGCGGAGAACTTACTGGTGGGCGTGCGGGCTGGCAGCCCGCACCAGCTTAAGAACTGTGGTTGGGGCTTGGGGTCTGAGAACTTGCTGGTGGGCGTGCGGGCTGGCAGCTCGCACCAGCTTGCTGTCGTTGGGGCTTGGGGCTGAGAACTTACTGGTGGGCGTGCGGGCTGGCAGCCCGCACCAGCTTAAGAGCTGTGGTTGGGGCTTGGGGGGTCTGAGAACTTACTGGTGGGGGTGCGGGCTGCCAGCCCGCACCAGCTTAAGAGCGCTTGGGGGGTCTGAGAACTTGCTGGTGGGCGTGCGGGCTGGCAGCCCGCACCAGCTTAAGAGCTGTCGTTGGGGCTTGGGGGGTCTGAGAACTTACTGGTGCGCGCGGGCTGGCAGCCCGCAAAAGCTTAAGAGCTGTCGTTGGGGCTTAGGGGGTCTGAGAACTTACTGGTGGGCGTGCGGGCTGGCAGCCCGCACCAGCTTAAGATCTGTCGTTGGGGCTTGGGGGGTCTGAGAACTTGCTGGTGGGCGTGCGGGCTGGCAGCCCTCACCAACTTAAGAGCTGTCGTTGGGGCTTGGGGGGTCCGAGAACTTGCTGGTGGGCGTGCGGGCTGGCAGCCCGCACCAGCTTAAGAGCTGTCGTTGGGGCTTAGGGCTGAGAACTTACTGGTGGGTGTGCGGGCTGGCAGCCCGCACCAGCTTAAGAGCTGTCGTTGGGGGCTTGGGGGGTCTGAGAACTTGCTGGTGGGCGTGCGGGCTGGCAGCCCGCACCAGCTTAAGAGCTGTCGTTGGGGCTTGGGGGGTCTGAGAACTTACTGGTGACCGTGTGGGCTGGCAGCCCGCACCAGCTTAAGAGCTGTGGTTGGGGCTTGGGGGGTCTGAGAACTTGCTGGTGGGCGTGCGGGCGGGCAGCCCGCACCAGCTTAAGAGCTGTCGTTGGGGCTTGGGGCTGAGAACTTACTGGTGGGCGTGCGGGCTGGCAGCCCGCACCAGCTTAAGAGCTGTCGTTGGGGCTTGGTGGGTCTGAGAACTTGCTGGTGGGCGTGCGGGCTGGCAGCCCGCACCAGCTTAAGAGCTGTCGTTGGGGCTTGGGGGGTCTGAGAACTTACTGGTGGGCGTGCAGGCTGGCAGCCCGCACCAGCTTAAGAGCTGTGGTTGGGCTTGGGGGGTCTGAGAACTTGCTGGTGGGCGTGCGGGCTGGCAGCCCGCACCAGCTCAAGAGCTGTCGTTGGGGCTTGGGGGTCTGAGAACTTACTGGTGGGTGTGCGGGCTGGCAGCCCGCACCAGCTTAAGAGCTGTCATTGGGGCTTGGGGGGTCTGAGAACTTGCTGGTGGGCGAGCGGGCTGGCAGCCCGCACCAGCTTAAGAGCTGTCGTTGGGGCTTGGGGGGTCTGAGAACTTACTGGTGGGCGTGCGGGCTGGCAGCCAGCACCAGCTTAAGAGCTGTCATTGGGGCTTGGGGGGTCTGAGAACTTGCTGGTGGGCGAGCGGGCTGGCAGCCCGCACCAGCTTAAGAGCTGTCGTTGGGGCTTGGGGGGTCTGAGAACTTACTGGTGGGCGTGCGGGCTGGCAGCCCGCACCAGCTTAAGAGCTGCGGTTGGGGAGAACTTGCTGATGGGCGTGCGGGCTGGCAGCCCGCACCAGCTTAAGAGCTGTCGTTGGGGCTTGAGAACTTACTGGTGGGTGTGCGGGCTGGCAGCCAGCTTAAGAGCTGTCGTTGGGGCTTGGGGGGTCTGAGAACTTGCTGGTGGGCGTGCGGGCTGGCAGCCCGCACCAGCTTAAGAGCTGTCGTTGGGGCTTGGGGGGTCTGAGAACTTACTGGTGGGCGTGCGGGCTGGCAGCCCGCACCAGCTTAAGAGCTGTGGTTGGGGCTTGGGGGGTCTGAGAACTTGCTGGTGGGCGTGCGGGCTGGCAGCCCGCACCAGCTTAAGAGCTGTCGTTGGGGCTTAGGGCTGAGAACTGGTGGGTGTGCGGGCTGGCAGCCCGCACCAGCTTAAGAGCTGTCGTTGGGGGCTTGGGGGTCTGCGACCTTGCTGGTGGGCGTGCGGGCTGGCAGCCCGCACCAGCTTAAGAGCTGTCGTTGGGGCTTGATGGGTCTGAGAACTTACTGGTGGGCGTGCGGGCTGGCAGCCCGCACCAGCT